AAGTTCCCCTCTTTCTTGAAATGGGAGTTTTGCAAAGGAATATCAGAATCTTGCACTAGGAACATGGCTTTAGTCTGTCTATGAAACTCTTTTAACTTTTCCTTGGATTTCAATATCGAAGTACTTATCCTTTCTTGCTCTTACAGGATACGGTCCAAGATAGACAGGCTGTAGCGACGAATTATTAATGTTGTTGTATAGGAATACGTGAGAACAGTTGGAAAGATGTTTAGAAACAAGACTGTTCTATTTCCATGGCTGGTGGTAGAACTTGGCTTCATAGCTCTTATTATTTTCTGAGGTTTGAGAAAATTCAAACTGTTTCATATGAGGTACTGTTGAAAAGAATTCACCAGGTAATGCTAAAGGAGTTCCGTATACAAGCTCTGCGAATGAGCAACCCAAGTCTTCCTTGATGGCAGATCTTATGCCTAAAAGAACGAAAGGTAATGCTTCCAGCCATGATTTTGATTCGAGTAGATGACATTTGAGACTTGCTTTTAAAGTTCGGTGTTGTCTTTCGATCAGGCCAGGCCATTTGCCTGTGGATGGTACGCAGTTGTAGTGTTTGTATGAAAGCCAAGATATTTTCCTAAAGCTTGAAAAAGTTGGCTATTGCCGACCTTGGTCAGATGTTATGCGATTCGGAATTCCAAAGCGTGAAAACCAAGTATAAATCAAAGCTTTAGCAATAGATTCTGCTGATTGATCTTCTAACGGTACCGCTTCGATCCATCGTGTATAACGATCGATGATGGTTAGAAGATATTTGAATCCTTTGCAAGGAGGTAGCGGACCCACCAGATCTATGTTTAAATGCTGGAATCTGTGCGGATGTACTTTGAATTCTCCCAAAGATGACTGTGTATGTCTGTGAACTTTAGATCTTTGGCAAGATAAACATGCTCTAGTCCATAGTTGGCAGTCTTTATTCATATTGGGCCATATGAAACGTAGTGTTATCAATTTTATCGTGGATCTTATTCCAGGATGAGATAAATTATGGATTGAAGAAAATATTTTCTGCCGAAACTTTGCAGGGATTTATGGTCGATTATAATTTGTAGAAGTATCACAGTAAATTTTCTTGTCGCTGTCCGGTATAGGGATCTGTAGGATTTTTAAGTTTGGGTTGTTTTTTAGTATCTCCAAGTCGTCATTTTCTTGACAGTCTACTATAGTTTGTAAGTCTATTGCAGATGGTACAGAAATGGTGTCTATCCGAGAGAGAGCGTCAGCGACGGTATTTTCATGCCCTTGTATGAATCAGATATCGGTTGAGAACTGGCCTATATATGATAGTTGTCGAGCTTGTCGTGGCGAAGCTTTTTCCAAATTTTGTTGGAAGGCAAATGTTAGTGGTTTGTGATCCGTGTATATTGCAAACGTTCGCCCTTCTAAGATGTATTTGAAATGTTTTACTGCTGTATAGATGGCTAAGAGTTCTCTGTCGTAGGCACTATATTTTTGTTGTGCTGATGTCAAATTTCGGGAAAAGAAACTTAAGGGTTGTTTTTTCATTATTCACAATCTGATGTAAAACGGCTCCAATGGCAGTATCGGAAGCATCAGTTGTTAGCGATATTTCAGCCTTTTCGGATGGGTGAGTTAAGTTTGTGGCATGAATAAGTGCATCTTTTAAGATTGGAAGGCGTTTCTTGTTTCTGTCGTCCAGGTTATTTCTTTTCTGCAGTTCTTTTTAATACCACTGAGCAATGTTGTTAAAGGTTGTTACCACTGAGGTTTAATACCACTGAGCAATGTTGCAGTTTCGCACAATTTGGTATGAATCTGTGATAAAAATTCACCATACCTAAAAATCGTCTTAAACTAGTAAGTGACTTGGGAAATGGTTCTGGGAAATTTTTGATGGCATCAACTTTCGTTGAAAGAGGTTTAAGTCCTTCAGCTGACACTTCGTATCCCAGGAATGCAAGTTTTGCTTGACCAAATTTACACTTTGCCGCATTAATACACAGGCCATATTCGTTTAGTCTCTCGAGGACTGCTCGTATATGTTTTCGATGAGTTTCTTCATCTGGAGAGGCTATTAGAATGTCATCCAAATAGCAAAACACGAATTCTAGTCCATTCAACAAACTGTTCATGAAACGTTGAACGTTTGGGCCGCATTTCGTAGGCCGAACGTCATGAATGGGAACTCGAATAAGCCAAAGGGAGTGAGAATGGCCGTTTTCGGTATATCTTCTTCGCGAACTGGAATTTGTTGGTACGCTCTAATGAGGTCTATGGATGAGAAAACTTTTTTTCCAGCTAAAATGGAACTGCAATCTGTTAAAAATGGGAGAGGGTATCTATCAGGAATCGTGACGTTGTTTAACGCTCGATAGTCTCCACAAGGTCTCCAATCACCTGATTTCTTCATAGCGAGATGTAGTGGCTGGACCAGTTACTTTTGGATGGCCTGCATAAACCCATTTGGAACATAAGTTCAAACTCCTTTTTAGCCGCTTTGAGTTTCTCAGCTGATAGTCTCCTGGCTTTAGCGAAAACTGGTGGACCTCTGGTTTTCGATATAATGTTCGATGTATGATTTTTAACTTTATTATTAACTACATTCAGTTTTAACAAATCCGGAAAAGTCGTTAATGATACGTTTATATGGATCATTTACGGCATTTAAAATCGGAATATTATTATTGTTATTTTGAAAACAAGGAGTTCCATTGGTTGTTAAGAATGTAGTACCATCAATCAACTTGCGATTTTTAGAATCTACCAAAAGGTTAAAATTTGCAAGAAAATCCATGCCTATTATCGGTTTGTTTACTTCCGCAATTACAAAAGGCCATGTGAATGATCGTCTGAGTCCAAGATCAAGCTTGAGTAATTTTTGGCCATATGTTTTAATTTTCGTACCATTTGCAGCAAAGAGTTCTAATTTTGAGATTTTTTTTATCTGCAGGCAAGGGAGGAATGACAGAAATTTCTGCCTCCAGTATCTATTAAAAATTGGGTAGCCGATTCTTTGTCGCTGATGAAAAGACGACTCAGCTGACACCCCTTGTCCCTCCGTCGTCAATGAGAGACGGGGAGCTGGTTTTCCGGACTATTTGTCTGTGATTGTTGATGAGTAGTTGCAGGGTTGTTTACACTTAAATGACTTATCACCGAATTTTTTATGATAGTAACAAATATCACTAGATCTGTTACCACTGTAATTCCTATCTCTTGATTTGGATCGGTTACGACAATAGGGACGACTGTGACGTTGCTTGGATAAAGCAGAAACTTGTAAGCTAAGTTCACTAACCTGTTTTTGTAAACTTTCAATCACTTCCGTTTTCACCGTTATGGATGAAGCAGCAGCTATTTGGGGAGTAACAGGGTTTAATTCCCAAATCTTATCGGCCATTGTAGCCACTTTTGACAAATCTTCACCACTAACAGATATAATGCTACGCATATTAACGGGTAAACGTTGTAGCCACAATGTTTTTAGGAAAGTATCTGTTACTTTATCGCCCAGCCAAATTACGCATCTCACACAGCAATTGAGATGGCTTTTTGTCACCCAGTTCTAACTCACTCAGTAATTTTGGGTTTTTTTGAGTCTCTGAATCAGCATATAATGAAATTAGCCTATTTTTAATTCCCTGATATTTATTATCTTGTGGTGGACTTACTTGTGGCGGCAAAATATCAGATACCTGTGACAAAATATCGGGTTCAATGGAACTTATAACATAATCATATTTTGTTTGATCTGCATTTATTTTTGCATTTCTAAATTGTGCTTCTAGTTGAATAAACCATATTTTAGGATCTGGCTTCCAAAAAGGAGGAACTTTAACGCTTACCTTGGCGACAGATGCAGTTGTTGCTTTAATTTCGGTTTCGTCTTCGTCAGCCATTGTAGAATTCGATCACGCCGGGATACACCAGTGAAGTGTCTGGTGTGCAAATATAGAAAAATAACACTTCTCTGACTCCAATGGAACCAATATTTTATTCCTTACGAAGTTATAGATTCTTATTCATAAGTTTAGTAAAAAAAGTTCAGATATTACGTGAGCGTATACGGTATTCTAAAAAACATGTTTAGGAAAAATAATAAGTTATTGATAAGAATATATTATTAGTAAGTAAAAATCTTAGTTCGATAGGGGGTAGGGCCTTGCAGCTCAGGTAGCCTGGTAAGTATACTATATCACTTAATGTGTAAGTTTGTTAATTTTTTTGAAACTATCTGCATCGAAGTTACTTCATTTTATATATAACATCTACATTATTATTATTTTACATTTACATGAATAAAACCTATATTACGTATTTGTCTTCTAAACAAGTTTTTTTTAGCCCTCGGTTCTATTTAACTTCAATTCTTACGTATTTTATGAGCAAAGTTAGACCTCGACTTATGCACTCTTACTGAGTCCCACTTATTGCAGAATTTCGGATGTATACAAAAGAAAGTGGTAATAAAGATATATATTTTTTAAAAGAAAAAGAATTTCACAATACAGTCAAAGATGTAAATCAATAGGTACTCAGAAGGTTAACAACGCAATGATAGAATTAATTAGTTACATTAAGCAAATAAATTGGATAATAGAATTAACAACTAAGGAAAATAATGGATTTTATATATGTAGAATTCAATATATATTTAATCTTGTATCTCTAGCGTTAAGCAGAAATTAAATTTAAAAAAAAATAAAAAAAAAAAGATGTATCTAAAAATAATTTATTAAACAACATTTTCCCTAAAGTTTTTACTTTTAAGTTGGTAATTCTGCCAATATTTTTCGAAATAGCTACACCTGTTCACACGCTAATTTACAGCCGAGAACATCGCGGAGAAAACAACGCAAGGCGCACAGCTAATGCTGAAAACATATAATTTACCTCGTGTGGGAAAATGCAGCTATAGTGGGAATAAAATAAATGCATTTTATATTTTTCATAAATTATTCAGTTTAGTTATTTTAAAATAATATTTATAAGTAGGCTGTAAATAAGTTTAAAATATAACAAACCATCTTTTTCCATATTCAATAATTACACCATTATCTGTAGAAAAAGAATCTCTTGGCAAACCATTCAGATTCCAGAACTGGATTTTGACAGGATTACCTAAGGTTTCTCCAAGTGAAAAATTTTTAGTGCATGGTATATGACGATTCTAGAAAACGAAATATTTATTTAAGATTAATATACTTGATGAATAAATTTATATTAAAGAGAAGCTAAAAATATAAACTAAGACCACGATGGAAATGAATTTAAAAAAATAGGGATCCTTTAATTCTGTGCTTTCTGGAAGTTTTCTCTCTTTTTTTTTTTTTTTTTTTTTAAAGCATCAGAGCTGCTTTTAGTCTCGAACTACACTTTTTTTGTTTTTTGTCTACATCACTTTTCAAATGTTTCCACTAAATGTTATAGACATTTCCTACGATTCGTATTTTACTGTGTTTTATATTTTACATTTTATTTCGCGTGTAGCCTAATTTTTCACCCTTCAATGTCATTGTTTTTTTTTTAAAAACTGTGTTGAACTTTTTCTTGGAGCCAAGCTCCTGGTAACTTTTTGGCGAGCTAACTACAATTTCTCTTCTCTTTTACTTAATTTTGCAGCATATTACGCAAAAAATTTCTAGACCTAATTGGTCTTTTTGTATTATACTTACAATTAGCTTATTAATTCTTAAAGGAATAATATAGCATAGGTATTTAAAAATTATAGCAATTATAGCAACACAAATAAAAAGATGTTCTCGTCAACTGTTAAAAAATAACTTAACGAAGATATATATATATATGATGATTTGGAAATGCCGCAATATCAGGTACTGAGATAAAAGCTCCGTAATGAAGAATGGACAGAAGACATGTAACAAGACGTAGTCGCAGCAGATCTGATTAATTTATTTTATTGCAATTAAACATTTTGCGGATATTTTGGATATTGTTACCGTATGAAGATAGCAGCAAGTAGCAGTCCAGCTAGGTCTATAGCAAATAGCTAGCAGTATGGAAACTTAAAGAGAAACGTTTAGGTTCTGGAAAATTTAAGTTCCGAATTAGCGTTATGTAATATTACCTTATTATCGTTATGTAAAAGTCATATGAAATGGATGAATCTAGAAGTGAAGCAGTCCAGAAAAAGTTATAAGCAATTGCTATTTTTAAAGCAGAAAAGGAAACATCCAAATTAAAGTGAAAAATTCAGGGGCTATTGTTAATTTAAGTAAATTTTGATTTACATGTTTTTTATCTTACATTTTCCCTCCTTCAAAGAGAAAAAAACTTATCGACAAAAAAAGCCTCTTTTTTTTTTTTTTTTTTTTTTTTTTTTTTTGAGAGAGAGAGAGAGAGAGAGGAAAAGCAACAGAGCAGCAAAACAACTTCTAAGAAAGAAAATAAAATTAGCAATTGATTTAAGTCTATTATCTGGAATAATATTGCCAAAATATCAATGAATCTCTAATATATATTACAGTTTGTTTTTTCCATAAGACTATTTCCAGTTTGTATCTTTTTACTTGAAGGACCTTCCATTTCTCTAAGATGTTACTTTTCATTCTTATCTAAAACACTGCAAATATTAACAAAAAATTACAGCTAATAATATCTATCATAGCAATAATACATATGTTACCTTTAAGGGTATAATATAGTTATTTCATAAAATATCTAGTTATTTCATGAAATAATTAAGCAAATTAGTTAAAGGTAGTAATAAATTATTAATAATTCCACACTTTAACCAGTTATTTCAAATAAAATAATTAATTATCCTATAAATATATTAAAAAATGGTTAAAATGTAAAATAAACAATTTAACTGATATCATACAAATGTTATTTATACAAACACTTAATAAAATTGTCTTTAACAATAGGAATTACTAAAATGGAGTTTGAAATTGTATAAAATATTATTACTAAAACAAGACACTGCGTTTTACATGAGTATTATCCCTGATCAGTACCTAAACATTAAGCTTTACTAACGGACCGAAGGGATTTCTCTATATACCGCACTTATTCGACTTTAATTAGCTTTTGTCCACAGGTGCTGAACTGGGATCGAGAGTATAGTTGTTTTATAGCACCATTTTTTGCGTTCATTTGAAAAAGATCCTGCCTCAATTTTCATGATAATAGCTAAAACTAAAGTTGTATCATCAATTCGTCTGTCAATTTCAGCTACTGGGACAGGGCTTGTAAGCCCCACAGAATCTGCAGGCTGAGATTTATCTGACATTAATTACATCTCCGTAGCTTCAATTTCCAAATATTCTTTTTAGAGTTTTCTCCTTCCTCATGAACATTCAGTTCATTAAAATACAACTCACAGAGCTTCTATTTCTTCTAAAACATAGTCTTCTTAACATGATATATTGACAGGCTCATTACATCACTGCATTTTTGTGAACAAATTATACATATTTTAATAGTAGCATTATTTAACTTTGTATTTTCAACCACCATGTCATTATCATATTTTGAGATGATCATGGAATATCTGGAAGTCTGACGTACAAAACGATTCGATAACAGTAATCTCTAGAGGCTGAGTTCAGCAAATTTTCGTTAATTATAAAAATATTGGGTGTAAATGAAAATAATATGTTTCATAGTTTTAAACGAAACATAAATGTTAATATACTTATTATTATATAACACTTTATAGTGGGTTAAAAATGGTGAACTATTTCAGGCCAGTAATCCTTAGATTCGAAATCCTTAGATCCTTAGATTAGTAATTCGAAAGCCGCTAGTGAGCCACACACACACACATCCACACATATACATTAAATAGTATTTACATGCCGTTTATAAAGTATAATTGAGTGCAATTTAATCATAAAGAGTTAGAAAATATTCTACGGAATTACTTCACTTCGTAGACTTTTTGTCAAGCTTCACCATATTTCTTAAAGAGAATCTCAATGCTAGTTCCATTTCCAAGCTGTTTATGTACCTTATTTTTCATGCAATATTTAGAAAATTATTTCACTTGGTTATAGCTGAAAATGCAGTTTTTTTATTGAAGAATTTAAGGGTAAGAAGAGAATTATGCTTTTTTCTAATTAATTATTCTTGAAGCATTTAATTTTTTTTAAAAAAAGCGCAAATTAATACGAATCACTGAACTAAAGTGGTCGATACAAGACAGATTAATTAGCTACTAAATTTTGATTTTCGTTGAGTAAAAATGAATTCATCTGCATTCTATAAGAAAGTAAATATTCAAAAAATGTTTTTTTTTCCTATTCTCGCAGTCATAATATTTTTCTTAAATATTCAGCTAATTCATATTCAAATATTCCAATCCATTACAATAAGTAATAAATCGATACAGTAAATAAATAATTAAAATCAATTAAATGAAATTTTAATTGATTTTAATTTCCATTTCCCTCTGATAAACCCCTCTTTAGAGTTCAATAGCAGTCGATCAGCTTTTGTTGGGGGTTCATTTTTCTTTATGGTATGCTTACGTTATATATGTATGTATTATGCATTGCTCATACTTGTCAATTGCAGCTTTTAATATCTTTTGAAAAAATCAATAGGAGATCCAGAAAAAATGATTCTTAGCGACGCGCTAAAAATTAATTATTACTAGGCACTCTCATGCCACAGTGTTTAAAAACAACATCCCATTGTTAAAGGTAGGTTCTATGCTCATATTTTAGTCTAAAATTAAAAGCTGCGAGTCAAAATTAAGGGGGTTGCTCTTAGAAAGCCTCAATTAGAAGTAGTTATAGGAAATGTTAATCAATACTTATAATCTTAAGGTATGTAAATTTTGAGCCCATTTCCCTTAGAAAATTCTCCATGAAATCATGCCTAGCCAACCCTCATATGTTTTGCCATATTTCAACACAAAATCATTCTTAAGATGATTAATTAATTAATTTATGTTAGATTGATACGAAGCTTTTCAAAAACTAGGATGCTTTCCGTAAACAATTAGTATTAATAAGCGCTGTTCAACTGGAATTGGGTTAGATTATTTGTTTATAGCAGTGCTTTTCAGCCGACTTACATGTACCTGTTTGTATTGCTCAGAGGGGGGTGGAAGGAAATTCCTATACGAAAACAATGTAATAATGAAATGTTAATAAACAAATAAATATAACTTTTCGTATCTTATGTAATTTGTCTCCATTCTGATACCATGTGCATCATTTATTTCTGATATACTGATACTGAATGAGACCTCAAAACACTTTTTTTTTTAAATATATCACCTCTTATGATCCCTGACACAGCCGTTTACTTTCCCCTTCCGTAATTAACGTCAGTCTCCTGCTCTCGACCGCATTTGCCAAGCCACCTGTATATACACTGTGCCCACCCCCAAAAAGCCCGGTATCACCCATTTAGCTGCCGAACGGCTGCAGCCATGGAGGTAGGAAAGTACTTCTTCCTACCTCCATGGCTGCAGCGGTCATAAAAGTGGTGTCTAGGTGTAGTTCGTCACGTCACGTGGTAGGAAATTACGAACAAACAAATGGGCGTTTTAACATTCTGCTTGTGACTTTTATGTCTACGAGACATATTTTCATGCTAAATCAATAATTCTCTATAACTTTGTAATTGACTTTTGCTCTTTCTAATACCGTTTTTGAGATAGGAATATTACCTCTACCTTTTTTTTCCAGATGGCGCTGTAAGCAGTTTCATTTAGTAGCGCATAGCCACTTTACTATACCTAAACACCACTTTTATGACTATAGTTGTAGCCGTTTGTCAGTTAAACAGATGGTACCAGACTTTAGTGGACACCCTGCATATACATCCTTTGTCAGAAACGTTCCAGGACTTTTTTATTTCTGAGTAATACCTAAACGTACTAAAAACGTAAAAAAGGGACAAATGTTGTTTTTATATTACCTGATATGTATTCTTACTTGACATGACCTTAGACATGTTTCCACGTAAACTTACTACGTGGCAGGGTTGTGCTTAGCAACACACTGTTCGGATTGTTGTCGCATTAAGGTGACACAACGAATGCTGGTTGCGAGCAAAGAGCGAACATTAAGTTCTGAGTTGAGCCCTGAAAAACCCCTAGTGAAATGCGGAACACGATTAAGCAGGCATATGTAGTCGAGGTACTTTAAGAAGTCATGTTTTTGAGTGGCACAAAAGGATTCGTGAAGGCAGAGATTCAGTACAAGACGATCCCAGAGCTGGTCACCTGTCCCCGTCCATAGCGCATACCGATGCAAACGTGGAGCGTGTAAGGCAGTTATTGCAAGAAGACCGTCGTGTAACTGTACGTATGATATCAGAAGAACTGAATTTGAATCGTGATGTGCGTCATAAGATTTTACGCGAAGATTTAGGGAAACGAAAACTTTACGCAAGAATCTCTCACTAACAGCTGAACAGAAAAAGGAAAGACTAAGAATTTCTGCTAAAATATTGGATAAAGCCAGACGTGATCCCACATTTGTGTCCAAGATTACTGTGATTTTTCCTTGTTTCCGTAAGTGAAAAGGTGACTGAAAGGAAAGATTCATCAAGATTATTGCAGACATCCAACGGGCTGTGGCAAATGAGCTTGCAAGCATCGCAGTTGAAGATTTCCCAGCTTGCTTCCAAGACATCCAGAAACGTAGGCAGTTGTGTATAGATAGCCAAGGGGACTACTATGATAGCAGATAGAATCATTACTTGGTAAATGCAATATTATATTTTTTTTCGACTTTTGTCCTGGAACTTTTCTAACAAAGAACGTATATGCGTAAAAAAAAAAGAGAGAAGGTGTAGTTTGAAAAACTTAATTATTGATTTTTTTAAAAAAAGTATGTCACAGAATTATTTCTGTTTTAAATAATGATATTTAAAAAATTAAACCACTGTTTGTTACAATGAGAGCCGCAATTAAGAAGCCAAGCAGCCACACTGTTTGGCCATTCCTGCGTAAATTTACAGAATTTAATTTTAATTCATTTTACTTTTCAGTAGACATGCCTATTAGTATCTTGTAAGCTTAACTCTTTACTAATCATTAACAATTAATTGCGCTTACATTTTAAATCTGCCTATCTATACAGGTATTACAAATATAGCGCTACTTCTTCTTTCTTAGCCATGATGGATTTCGTCGACATAATTTGAAACAGATACAGATTCGTACAGATACATAATTTGAAAGATTGCCCATTTTGAAATTTACAATAAAGTATTTACTTACACTGCAACATTCCACCCAATCATTAATACACATACTGCGATAATAAGATGTGTACGGGCCAAGGTATGCTATTACACCTGATGCTAGCAGAACATCGCCAGGTAAATTTTCGAACTTCTTTTTGAGATTTTTTGCTTCGTTTGCCCATCTAAAAATGAAATTTTAAACGATGAGAAATGCCTTGGAAACTGACGAAAAGTTAACAGTAAAGTCCAAAAGTTTTAAGGATGCAAAATTAACAGTGCAAAATAAGTAAAATAATTTACAAGGTGGTTAAATTGGAAAAAAAAAATATTTATTTAATTTTTTTAAGAAATACAAATTTACGAGAAACCATTTCTTCAGTAAAATGATGCACGAAAAATATATTTAAATAAATTTTCGTGAAATATTTAATAATTTATGGAGGCTGTTAATGGCATACTATTTCCAGATTCCAGGTAATTCAGAATTTAATTCAAAAATGATTTAAAATCATGGGAATGTAGCTTTCATATTAAACCTCCAGCATCACAATAGTAAGATAACTCTCAGTACTGGAGCCGTTACAAACGCTCAGCGAAATAAGATCAAAACAGCCAGTTTGACTTTTGGAAAAAAACTCGGGGAATAGCCTCTGTATTTGAAATTACTTTAGCGGAGAGATTTAGATACAGTACCCTTTAAAATAGGTAAATAGGTAGGTTAGGTACCCTTTAAAATGGGTCTCAACGAAAGTTCAATTGCACGACTGTTGCATACAGAAAAGTATCATTTGTATTAGTTTCAGTTTATGAAAGTAAAAAATGGAGATGATTGGAATAGGAAGTTTCAGATTTACAGAAAGGGCTCAGTGGGAAACCCTGTGATTTCATATTCTCAAGAATTTTGAGAAATCTGTACACAGTAATAGTCTGACTTAAACTTACGTGAATTCAAAGTTACGTGGTTTGTTATTTTCTTTATTTTATTTTACATGCTTACGATTGTAATTAATTTTCATTTGAAACAATCAGCAATTGATAAAATGCTGATAAACAAAATTTTACTCTATCTATATATTAAAACTAGGTTTAAAGAAATAATACGCATCAAAGCATATAATAATTTATGTACAATGCTCTAAAATTCGCATCCTTCTTTAAAAACTCTCCTTAAGTTATAACTGTGTACACAGACAATGAAGTTTTCCTACGTTTACGCACATTGTTTTTATACTTTGGTGTACAAAAAAAGTGAAGAATGGAGTTTGATATTCTTTATTTCCTCTACATTTTCTCTACATTTAATAATTATAAATTCTATTGTCAGATTGTAGAGACATTAGGTTATTCTGAAGAAGGAGAGATGAAAAAGGAGCAAAGCCCTCCCAGGGACTCGAACCACGGACCTCTCGAATATGCGCCGAGCGTGCAGACCACTGCACTACGAAGGCATGCTAAAAAAGCGGGAGAAATACCTTATAAGATGAGCTAGTTAAACTTCATAAAACTCGCGGCATCGAAACACCTTTTCACGCAGTAAATTTATTATAATTTTCTAGCAAGGTGCAAGTCTTGATAGAGAACGTTAGTCTAATTAATTTTCAAATATTTAAATTTTCATGCACAAGTTTTACTGACACTCATATTGTTACACTTTGTGCATACTACATATTCAAAAAAATTTGTTAATTTAATTTAATTTTGTCAAACCTAATTTCGATTATCTTTGTTATATATATACGTGTGTAAGATATAAAATATGAAAAATTATTAACTTTAATTGGCAATAGTTCTTTTTATTACCCATTTTCCTTTTTGATACTTCGCTTGCTACTTGACAACATGCATCTCTCGCCTCTGCTGTATATCGCCAAGCTGTATAAAATTATGCGATGCATAGCGTACCCATAATGAACCTGTTCATAATGTGAACCTGTTGAATTACGAAATAAAACTGTGCTGAATCAACGCCAAGTTTGCTTAAGTTTTTCTTTTCTGTCATATCATCTTATATATCCACGCCACTGTTTACTAATCTCAATATAACTACATAATTTCTATTACAATTAATTAGTCGACAGGATTTCCTGAATTAATATATCAGTTAATTAATGAGGCTGTGTCCAAATCTAGAGATATGTTTGAATCTAGAGAATGCTGTGAGGTCTTCCAGTTTTGTGCATAATAAGAAAATTAGAAATTTGATAATAATAATAAAACATATTTCAGTTACAGTATTATAATGATGTTAAAAAGTGCAAGTTATAAAAAAGGATTAGTTATAATTTTAAAATTTGTTTTTATTTTCCAAAATACGCAATGGGTATATAAAATTTTTATACTTGTGATTAAGTTAAGGTTAAAATGATACTAAAACTAATTAAGAAATATTTGAGATAACACTACACCTCAGTAAAGTGTTAAACTTGATCTGGTAATGCTTTCTTAGTCGAATAACTCTAACAGACGTGAAGCAAATTATCACTATGTCTGAAATAACGACGAAGTCGTGAAAATATTAAAAATAACCCTTTTCTTTAAATGTAATTTAGAACACAAAGTCACTCTCTTGTGCTACAATTTTTACAACTTATACTTGCAGTGCATAGATAATGTAACGTGGGATGATGCAAAATAAATTTGAACAGTCTTTAGTAAAATTAAACATGGAACAGTACTCAAAGACTACGTAAACTAGAAGGTAGCTCACTACTCTACTGGAGGGTCAAAATTAAAATGTCGGCAGCGAGAAAACACAAAGCTGACTAGTTGCAAATATCAGAACTGGCAGGAAATTAACATGTAGATGCCAAAAACATGCTCTGTCTTAAAATACAAAAACCTCATTTTAAATACTGGCTACCTGTTTTACAATTGGGTGTGGAATACGTAATGTTAAAGTTAGAGTAAATGTTGAAATTAATAAATAACTGGTTAATTAACATAAAATTCCCAACATGACTTTGAAACATACATAAAAGTGTAAAAAATCCCACCATTTACATTTGCGTAGAAATGAAGAGTAGGAAAATGTAAGCAAATACATACCACCAATATAAAAGTCTAAGCCATTAAAGAAAACTTACATCTAAAAAGAGAACTATTCGGTCAACTCACTTAACTTCAAAAATTATGATTTATCTACATGAATAAAATAAAATACAACTTTTAATTTCAACTAGAATATTTCTCTTTTTACTTCCTTGTACGAAGTAAAAAGGAAGTATTGTAACAGCGAAAACTTAAGGGTATCATATTTCAACGAAAATATCGATTTTGACTGCTATCCAATAAAATTTAATGATGTTTTTGCGTGACATCTGTAAGTAAGGACAGAATAAAGGGCTCTTTTCACCCCAAAAAAATTATAAAACTCATATCTCTTCAGAATTCATTTTAAAAATTTTAAGTGAATTTTGAAGAGAATTTCTGTGCGTACGTAAGTATCTCGAATAACTCAAAAACGAGTACCCTCAGAAGGTTGAAATTTTGTATGTAGGACTGCTATAACATGTATATGTGCACCTCGTATTTTGGTTGCAATCGGCCGCACCAAAGTATATAAATATATGTATATATATATATATACACTTTGTTACTCGGCTCAGTGATCTCAGTTTCTTCATTCTTATATGTTTGCAAATTGTGCATTTTTGGCTTTAAAAATGGTTGAATTATGTTGTTCTTATCTTTCGGTTAAGGTTTTTATGCCTTTAGTAAATCTTCATGCAATATTTGTGGAGTTAATCAACAATTTAAAAGTTGTTCAAGTGCAGATAAACCTAATGAATTTTGCGATAGCGGACATGTTTGTTTACATTTCAAACTTGGAAAAATCCATTCTAGAATTTATTCGAGAAAATAAGTGTTTCAGATTTACTTCGTAGTTTTTAATATAGATTATTTTGAGTTTTCATGTATTTTTGCCTTGCCGGGAAGTGAGAACTGAATTAAGTCGAATGAGAATATACTGAATCGTCTGTGAAAAACTGTTCTTTGTTTTGGTTGCTTAAATTTTTTATACATCGGTTTCTAAGATTTATTATAGTACTTAAATAGTACATGTGGCAACGATTAGATAATTCTTCAAATGATATTAAATTTATGTGGCATTCTGAGTTATAATATGGACAAAATGTAACGCTGTTAAGTGAACCTAGCGACAGAGTGTCGCTATGGTAAACAAATATAGTGAATTTTAAAGAGTGCATTTATTCTGTTGTGGTTTATGCGCTATCGACGAACTAGATTTAATTCAATCCAATAAGTTTAAATGAAATGCAAGGAAAATGCGTATAATTTAATATTCCGTGCAAGGAAGTCGTGTGGTGTACACATCAGATTTTTTTTTCAGGATGAATAAATAAAGTATAAGTTAAATATTGATATGAATTGCCGCACAGACGGGAAAGTAGTGACTCTTATTGCTGTTCCGAAGGGCTCGGGTCCGAAACCTGGAGAAAGCATAGTGCAATTTGTTCGTCCTTTCATAGAAGACAATCGTGGCCACCTATTAGCAGCCGCCATAATAAAGTGATCACCGATTCCGTCCGTAGTAGTGGTCAGTGCCTGTAAACACATAGAGCTCGGCTTTGGAAAAAAATATTTATATGAATTAAAAATATTATGCACATATATATACATATATATTTATATTTTTCAGTCCGGTGGGGGAAGAAAAGAAACCCGCATTTACTATTTACAAAAACACACATCATTAATTATTTTTAAAGAAAAAGAAACAAAATGTTTAAGAATATTAGGAAAAATAAAATGATAAAATTTCTTAATTTTGGCCTAATGCTTAAAATGAAATTAATTATTATAAACTGAAAAAAAAAGTGTTTTTAGAAGATTATAAGTTTAATATTACATTATAATTCATGCAACACATGATTTACTATGATAAGTAAATGAGTTTTAAAATTAAATGTGAAACACAAAATGATTCTTAACCTCAATCGTTCCCCTCCAAGACCACCTATCAATTTTTCAGCTCTCTGCAAATTTGTTTCACACAAAGCTGCTTGTGTTTCTAAATCTTTCTTTTTCTGCACCGACTCATCACAGTCTTTCTTTAGGGCTGCTAACTTTGCTTCTAATGCTGCTAACTCTGACCTTTTCTTATTTAATACATCCATTATCACTGCTAACTGCTGCTCAGCTTCCCTGAGTTTTTCCTTTTTAGGTGCTACAACCTACACAATAAGAAGTGATAATGTAATACAATTTTAAAAACCTTGAAATATAAAATGTATAATTACGAAAAATGTATAAGCAATAGCGCTGATATTAATTAAAGAAAAACTTGTTTCAGTCATATCATTAATAAACTTAACCGTTTATTGTTCACATTTTGAACGAAAGACAGTCTTAATTACTTGACTGGTTTGCGTTTAAAATTTTGGATACATACACTTTGACATATCGTCGCAAGATGAAATCAAGGTATGCTGCACTCTTTGAAGAATGAGTTAGCCATCCTGTCAAACGTATCCGCAAACAAATTCCTTATTCATACAGTCTTGCACAATTTATTTCAATGATGAAATGCCCCCTATTGAATCTAGACGAGTTTTAGATGCAAATAAAACATTTCAAGAGCAGAAAATATTTTAGCATATATATTTCGATTGTTGTAGAAGTACATCGTCACAAGAATTGGTAATGTGATTGCTCAGAGTGACAGTCTGGATTTTGTTACGATTTTTGTTTTAGGACATTTACAGTATTTTCAGGTGTTTTTTCAAGGTAAACAAGATGCTGAATAGCAGTGAGTTTCGAGAGTAACACTGGTGCAACGATTCATTGGTCTTTACGACAATTTGTTTGAAACTATGATGATCTACTTCACAGCAAAGCAATGGACGAAATTCACTACAGTAATGGCGTGCATTTTCAGAGGAACACGAGACGAGGGCTTAGCGAAGGTCTTGCACAGTTCACAAAACAAACTAATGCGGCAGCCCGGTGCTATGCACTAGCTAGATTTGTGTCTAACGCAGGGACTTCTTAAACGCAATCATTTACTACGAGGGTCCGGCGCTCTTGCTAAAATATTAAAATTCTCACTGCACTGATTTCTCTTTCTCTCTCTTTGGATTACAGCTTAACATTTATGAGGCTGACATATCGAGGAAGATTAGAATTATCGAGTAGATAAGAATCAAGGAGGATAAATATTTCAACTTTGCAGAATTTTTTATTTGATCAGCCGAATTCTTTTCTGGTTGGAATACTAACCACTAAAATTTATGAGATTATTCCGTTTGACAACACACAAACACACACACACACAAAAAAAAAAATGCAGATTGGCAATAAAATTCAAAAGAATTAAATGGATAATGTTATTGCTGATAAAATGATGACTTCAACTGCCACATGAAAATTCCTTTGGGAATTTTCTATCATTTTTTAGAGTGAGCGAAGACCACGTATTTATAACATCTAATCATGTCTCCAATCCAGTTAAGGCAAAGCCATCTGTTCCACTGCAGATGCGTTCGCAAATGCGTGGAAAATAGCAATAATTATACTCTCTAGGATATTTCTCTCCCTGAATAAAAAAACAACTAAAATATTATTGGCAGAGAATAAGTGTAACAGATAAATAATTTTGGACTATTTTACAATAAATTTGGTAAAAAAGAAAAGCACCGCTGATAAGATAGATGAAAACATTCTTGATTATTATAACAACTGCTGTAAAGTTCATATTCTTATTATTTACATTTTCACACCATTTAAGTTTTTAAATGCGTGGAAGACTTTTGAACCATTCTGAAAAATATCATATGATTCATTAAATTGAAAAAAAATAATAAGAAGATAACAGGAATTATCATAAAAATACACTACTTTTTTATTTAATGCTCTAAAAGAGTACAATTAATTTCTGGCTGTGCCTCTTTTTGGAAATGCATAAGGTTCATATTACTTACACACGTTTCGTAGTGCATGTTTAAATAACATTAAAAAGGTTAAACTCAGCTTTCTTGAACTTAGAATCAGATAGCAAAATTTGGCGTTTCAAGAGGCATCAATTTTAAATTAATAATTAGCAAAACCTGACCTTTATTTGGCGTGTACATCAATTAAGAAATCCCAAGAAACAGCACAACACAATCTCAAAACAAACAGATCTTTTTTTAAGTGATGTGCACACAAAATTGAAAGATTTTTTTCCAATTATTAATCCTAAAGGTAAAATGATATTATTGCAACTTAAAATAATTTTAATTCTTGCACTAATTTTACTTTTGATGCTTTCTATATCTGTTTCCCAAAGCCTTTGATTTCAATAAAAATTGTCGGAGAGTAACAGGGAACAAAAAATCCTTTCTTTAAATACCTCTTCAAATTTTGCTTATAGAAATAAGGAAAATTTCCTTTTTGACTCTTTAAAACATGATAAATATGTTATTCAAAGACATTTTTTGTTCTATTAATTAAAACATTAGATTTTATTTTTACAGAATCCTCCTGCCCAAATGCTATTTTTATACCATATTTTTTCTAAAAAACTGAAAGTATTAATATCAGTGTTTAAGGAGATAAATAAAACAGACTTTTCGTATATACCCTGTATGATGGAATTTCATTTATAATTAATTAGTCTAATAAATTAACATAATCATGCACGTAACTCTGAAAACAAAATATAAATATATTTACAATACCTTCGCTGTTCTATCATATATTTCCATGGCTAGAACCCATCTACAAAGTCCTTCAGCAGCTGATGATGCTTTTGCAACATTCACTGGATCAAATTCTGGTAAGCCTATATACTCCGACCGGATTTTTTCCATTATCAATGGCTGATTAATCAAAGCAAAATTTAAACAAAACACTTAATTTAATATTAAAAATGATAGTTTAATCTGAATTACATACAAAAAGTGCATTCATTGCTTAAATAAGTACTATTAGCAGAACAGCATCAAATTTCAAGTTTTTTTTTACCTTTCTGATTTATCACTTAATTAACAATGAACTGTAACTTAAGATATAAAGAATATTTAACAAAAAAATATAGATGACTATTTGATTATTATTTTGGCTGCAATTCTGTTTAAAGTTACTTCATAATTCCTTACAACTCTATTTAAAACTGATAAAAATAAAAACATTATCTTTTCTAGATGAAAACATACAACCTGAAATTTGGAGTAGCTTATGTTATAATGCATATTATTACGTTTTCTTTTGAAAATATTATTTCAGCACACTTTTTAATATTATATTTCCTTTTCAAAACTTGTCCTACCTTTCTTTTTTGTAAACTTAATGAATTTGAGCAATTTCTGAAATATGGCTATTACTGATTTTTATCATTCTTAGATAATAAGATGCAAAGCACACAGCCTGATTACAATTCATATATACAGGGAAACCTGGTTACAACAATATTTTAGGGACCAAATAAATATATTGTTGTAGAGAGGCATATTGTTATATCCAGGGCCCACATATTTTGAGCATTTAATAAGAGTTTTTTTTATTATTATTATGAGTTTAAGGTGCATAACATACTACTTTAAGTCTATATTTAGAAGAAATTAATTTGTAAAATACTAATAATAGTGGTTTAAATACTAAAAAAATAAATAAATAAGATAAATTCAGAAAATAAGCACAGAAATATTCACATACCTGAAAACACTTTTTATTGAAAATAATCCAATATTTTTGTTTGTTTATTGAATTTTTTAACTGTTAAGTTCACCAATACTGTATGCATTGAGTCTAGTGCAGGAAAATGTTCTTCATTTGTCGACGGAAGGCTTGAAAAAAATGTCCGTAGAGAATTCACAGACTGAAGAGCTTCCTGAGATGACAATAAGGACTGCGATGGACCTGTATTATCATCATCATCAATATCATCATCATCTTCATCATTGTTTCCTATCTCATCAGTAATTTCAGAGAGAATATCTTCACAGTAACTCCTGCGAAAACCATAAGATCATCATCTGCTGTTAAATAGTCATCTATACTAATTCCAAACTTTTTACCGCTTGTTTCCTCAAGTTGAGATACAGATTTTTTGATGTGCAAAACACATTCTTGATCATCTGAGAGATCATTGTCTATGGAATTTTCATCATAATCAGATTTCTTATCTTCCATAACACAAAGACCGGCCTTTTTCCAGCAATTCCGAATGGTTTTTTCTGTTACTTCCCACCAACTTCCAGCAATATTGTCACACGCTTCCTTGACATTTACAGCTTTGAAAGGGTCTTCTACTTTATTTTTAAAGTTTACAAGTATGGAGTCCACCAACCGTTTTCTGTAATATCCTTTGAAGCACTTAATTATGCCCATATCAAGAGGCTGTAAAATTGAAGTGCAATTGGCAGGAATAAAAGCGATTTCGATATTTTGTAGCTTTGGAAATGACGTGTGAGCACCGCAGTTATATATCAACAAAACGATTTTTTTTCTTTCTCTTCTTCATTTCATTGTCTAACTTCTGTAACCATTCGGAAAAAAATTTAGACGTCATCCAAGCCTTTTTATTTGCTTTATACTCCACGGGAAGACCTTTCACGTTCTTAAAGCACCTTGGCTTCAATGATTTACCAATGACGAGAGGTTGTATTCTATGCGTTCCTGTGCTATTTGTACACAGAAGAACAGTCAGTCTCTGCTTTGATTTCTTCCCTCCATAACACTTTTCACCCTTGAATGCCAATGTTCGATCGGGTAGGAGTTGTAAAAACAGCCCAGCTTCATCTGCATTATAAATGTCTTCTGGAGCATACTTTTCTAAGATTTCTTTCATCTTGTTTTGCCGCCATTCATTTGCGTCGTTTATCGCGGGCTGACTTTTTCTCTCTCCGTGAACTTCTTGGAAAGTTATTCCATGACGATCTCGAAAACGCATTAACCAACCATTGCTAGCTTTGAAAGTTTCGTTCCCTAGCATTGCTGCAAATTTCCGTGCTTTTGCACATAATAAAGGTCCATTTATTGGGACATTTGTTGCTCTCATCTCTTGAAACCATTTTAAAACAGCAGCATCAATGTTTTCATTTGTCGCAACTTTCAGTCGTTTTCGCTCTGGGTTAATTTCATTTGAAGTTACAGCATCTTCGATTTGCTTTCTCTTCTTTAGGAACGTTGCAACTGTAGATTGCGATAATCCATGTTTCTTAGCCGCATCAATCTGCTTCATTCCCTCATCAATATCATTGATAACGTTCAGTTTATCTCGAAAAGATAGTTGCTTTCGCCCTGCCATCTTAGGGAACAATATCGCGTGAAAGAAAGAAAAGTTTTAAACCAAATGTTTCGCGTAGAACTCAAAATCGTTAAGACTATAAAACAACCTTTGAACTCACTTTTCAGTACGTCACTTAACAACACCCCGCCTCCATCTCCCCCTGTTCCTCTAACAAAGGGCACTTGTTCTGTGACAAGGTGAAGACAGGTCTAGATGTCCTTAAACCTTATCAGAATTCCAAAGCTTACTGGGAAATGAGACTAGGCATACATTTACACTTCCCCCCTCTCACCCACTCCAATTCCCAAAAGGGTGGTCTTCATCTGTTTTGAAATCTGAACAATAGCTATTTATTCAGGGATAAGTTGAATATCCACAATGAGTCTTAATAGACGGAAAAAATAACAAAAGAAAACGAAAAAAAAAAAAAAAAAAAGCATTTGAAAATCAAAATATTATTATAAAGAGAGAAAATAATACTGAAATTTAGATTGAAAAAATCTTTTTACAGAGGTTTATTGTTCTAGAGAATATAGCAATATTGAGGGAAGATTAACATTAGTTTATATGCAAAATCACCGGGACCACAGAACATTATTGTAGTAGAGGGAGTTATTGTTGTAGCGAGAGTTTACTGTATATAGGTTGTAAAAGTTTGTGCAACTCTTTTATTTACAATTAAGGTTCAAAATGTATTTTCTAAAATTATCATTTTGCTGTGTGTGACAAAGCATTTTGATAGAAGGATACTATTAGATAACAGTTTTTCTCACTGCAGATGCTGTCCATAAAGTAATGGATTTTATATTAGAAAATATTGTATTAAGTAAGAATAGTAGTTTTTTCAGAAAACTTTATAATTTGGGAAACTGAATATCGTGATTTTGTGTACATGAAGTTTTACGAGGATCATACATTAAATATAATCATTTTAGGTTAGAATTCTTTTCAATTTTCTTGTAATAGGAATTGTTGCTATACGACAGCAATTGTATAACAAGAAAACTCAATCTTACTTACATCAATATTGTCTTTATCATACTCTTTAAGAGATGCAAGGAAACCCATGTCGCCAAGCAGTTTCTTTGAAGGTCCCCAGTAATCATTCACCTGCGAAAAACGTTCTGCTGCTTTATTTAGGATTTAGCTATTTTTGTACAAGAAATGTTAATATCCTTAATAATATAGAATGAAGTTTTTTAGTGAATTGCACATATAATATATAGAAAGTTTAATATGAGAAAATGAAAAGCTTTTCCTCTGACATTTAAATAAGAGATATTTAAATTCAAATGACATTTTGCTTCAACATTGTAGTGAAAATTTTAATGATTTTTTAAATAATTTCTGGAATAATAGGACCCAGTTGCCTAAAAATGATTTCTGCCCATTATCTGAATGGTGTTTGGGATGGTTTGGCATGTTTATACTATGCCGCTAGTTTAGGAAAATAAACAAAAATATACATAAAAAGAATGTTTTTAGCTACAACTCTCTATTTGCATATGATTTGGAATAAATGAGCTTTTACATGGATTTTTTACAAACTGCTCTATGACATAGTTGCCTAAGATTATATGTGCGTTTATCAAAATTTTACTAATTTATCAATGCTCTGGAATTCCTTCCCCCTTCTCTTTTTCAGACAAATATAAATTTCATCTACATAATAAAATTTACTAACATATTCTGATTTTTCAGGATCAGCAAAATGTAGCTTTAAAATAATAAGCAGAACCGATTCTTTGATAAAGGAATCTTGGCAGTTGTATTTATCTCAGATTTCTCATTAGGTGATTACGCGTATAGAACTTGATAGTATATTTCATCAAATTACATCAACACAATCACTATTTCTTCAATAAAAATGAGAATAGTAAAATTTTCTATTTTCATATTGAAAAGTTTTACCTTTTATTAATAGACAGTTTTACTCTTTCCCCCTTCTTGCGTAAATACATTTTCTAATGTCTTATAAGCAGTGAAAATGTAAAATAACACGTCAAGTTAAGACATATATTCCTAATTGTAAGGGAGAACTATCACATAGGATATAACGCTCATTAGGATGAAAAGTAAGCAAAATTAACTTGCTTAAAGTTCTAAACTAAACTATTTTTTAGTAAAATAAAAAAAATCATTCATTGGGAAAAAATAAACAAAAAAATCAGTGAATTTTTTAGTGTTACTTGATAACGCTTTTAAAATTTTGAAACCCACATTTATGAAATCAGAAATTGTAATTACTATAAAGATTATTTTAAATACTTGTACTATAGAATTACACATCTAAAATAGTCACAGCTTGAAAACACTTATTAATAAATTGCCAGTTAATTGCACCAATTTTCTCTGTAGTTCATAATCATTAATAAATAATTACACCAATTTTTGTAAGTAATACATAATCGTTAATTTCATCTGTTTCAATAAAATAAGAATACAGAACAAAGAAAAGAACAGATTTCAGATGAAAATAAATGAATTTGTGACTCATGTCTTACTTTTCTACCTGTAGCTGGATCAGTAACTCTATCTGGTTTAATATTTTTCATTATACATACAGCAGCAAGGACAACTTTTACAGCATTTGGAGGATTTTTCATCGATTTCACAACAGTGATGTCAGCAGGCTGTAAAATATAAAATTTATAAGTACATTTTGCCAAGCAAGAGAGAGGAAGGAGTTATTAGAAGCAGGCCGCTTGCCATAGTAGTTTTACTCGGTTGCCTTCAAGGCCAGAGGTTTAATCCTCTTGATAATTTTAAACGTATCGTAGTGTTAGCAGTTCTCTGTACTACATACGGCTTTTTGTTAATTTACGGCCAATCTTGGAGTTAGGCACTTGTTTATTAATCCAAAGTTAGTTTAGTTAGAGTTTAGTTAATATTTTTTATATTCTTACGTTCAGACCACAAGTGGTTGGTCTCTGTATTCCGAAGTTCCGGAAATCATTGTAAAGAGAGAAAAATAAAGGGTTTCGTATACCCTTCCTGTGTGTATTGTCTACTTCCCAAATTTATTGAACATAGCTTTAGTAAGCTCCCTGTTCCGAGTCAGGACAGTGAATGTTCCCAAAGCAAGTAAGGAGGAACACCAATCCTGATAAAGTAGTCTTGGTTCATTGGTTGGTTAATTGAGTAAGGTACATGTTGTCTGCCTAACAAGAAGGATGCTCTCAAGAATGACATTTCAAGGTAAATATATTTGTATTTATATTGCACATTGAAAAAAAACCAAGGAAAATCCATACAGCCAGACCATTCACTGAGATGTCAAACTGAGTTGAACCATCAGTAGTCATCAGCCACTGATTGGTATCCAGCAACTTAGGAATCTGGTCTTTATCAAGTCAAACAGAATTGGGAAACTCTGTTTTCCATAAAACATAATGCCTGCCCTTAAATTCTACCAACTCACTCAACATACACATTTCTGTGATATAATAGGAAAAATAAAACTGAAAAAAGGATCGTTGATGTTCCTATACAAATGTTATGATTTCATATGCAGTATTATATAATTTATTTAGTAAAACTGGCACCATCTTCTTTGCATCTTAGACACTGCTGTTATTCCATATAATGAAACCAAATATTTAAAAAAATCCATTCAGTAGCAAATATAAAAGAGATTTTAAATCCTGAATTCTTTAAAAGAGCAACCTTGTTAGACGATACACAGATGATTAATTTAAAATGTGCCAAGTCATGGAACTTCTTAAACTACATACAAAGGGTACTAACTAGAGTATGAAATGTCGAATTACCTTTAAAGTGTCTAATGCTGCCAGTGCAGCCTCAAGAGCTGGCAAAGCTTCAGCTAAATCTGCTTCACATTCTTCTTTAAGAGCAGATGATTCTTGAGCTTGGGCACTAGCATATTCTTCATCTTTATTTACAAAGGCTTTGACTTTTTCAACATCGGCAGACTCTTTTTTAATTTTCTGGAATAATACAATAATAATAATTTTGCTAATCAGTGCTATATTTTTATTTATTTTTTTATTTCCCTAAGCTATACATTTATTTGATTTTCAGGTAATCATGTAGTAAGCGATATACCGCTTTTAGGTGTTTATTTATGTCTTAGTTGACGCCACTAAAATGCTATTTTTAAATTCGAACAAGCATTGAAATGGTGGGAAAAAGAAATGATTAAAACAACTACCAATTTTCGCACCCCAATTTAAATCACGTTCAAATGGAGGCATATATTTAAAGTATAAAACAATCTAAGAGAAGAACACGGTAAAAAGATATTCTAAGATCAGTAAATTATATTCTAAACCAGGGGTTCTCAACCGGTGGTATGCAAAGTATTTTTAACTATTAAATTAAAAAAAATTAAAACCACAACATCCTGGTTAAGTTTTTTTTCTAACACTCGTAAATTTATGCGATCTGAGCTTTGTTCAACAGTGGTGGTGTAGTAGTACATTGTAGTGATGGTACTAAAGGTTTTTTAATTTTTGTTCAGATGGTAAGCGTTTGTCAAAAGGTTGAGAACTGCTGTTCTAAACTATTATACTACCTTTAAAAGTATCACCAAATATTTACATTTATAATAAAATGAACTTATTCTAACATGCAAAGTTATTTAACATTACAGTTCAAAAATAATAAATATTTAATTCAAAATTTAATTTTTAAATTAAATTCCAAATTTCACTAATTAATGCTATTCAATAAATAACGTAAAAACTAATAAAATAATCAGATAAATGAAGAAATTTAAGGCATAATTCTAGCTTCTTTAAAATTAAAACACGTTCAGGTTATTTCATGCAATGCTAATTGAAAAACTTAAATAGAAACCTCTATAAATTCTTCAGCTTCTTTCTGTGCAACAACTAATTTTGGCTGAAGCTCTTCGATATCCTTTTGCATTCCAGTTATTGTTTCGGAGAAAAATTCCAGTTGGCCAAGACCTCTAACATAACGTTGAATAGCAGCTTTTATTTCTTCTTGCTTAGTGCTCAAAAGCTCTTTGAAGGACGATATCAATGTCAGGTACGATGTTGGTGTGATATATGTATAACGTCCAAGTTCAGCAGCAAAACTACAGCCAAATGAATTGAATTGTGTATCAGGATTAGATGATTTTAATAAAAGTTTAAAAATGTTAGAAAAGAAGAAAATTAGAAATTTGTGGAGAAGATAATAACACAAATCGTCATACAAGACCGAAAAATATTCGCAGTTCTTCAGTTACAATGTAATAAAAATAAGCTTTTAGAAATTTTAAACTAGTTTCTCAAAATTTGTTTCTTTTAGAAAAACTGTGAGTTTGGGAGCTCCAGACTAGCTTATGGTGTTTTAAACGTTTCAAAAGTCCACTTTCAACAAATTCATTATTTTGTCAAATATTTGAATACATGGAAATGTCCAAGTTTTAAATCATGAAAATAAATTTATAAATCTTGGAAACATGATACAGAACGAGGAATACAAAATTTACATTACATTTTTACGGGAAATATATCCAAAACTGCAAATATAATTTCAGTTTTATAACTTTTTTAAATGATATAATATAAGCTTATATAGTAAAAACAAATACAATCAATGTAAAAATGCAATCAGCTTCAAAAATAAATAAAAACTCTCAATCTTTGTCAGCAATTGATAATCCCAATTTTTACTCAATCATTTAATTTCAGTTTTAGTGAAATAATGAACCGAGATTATCTATGATACACTGTTTACTATCTAAAACAGTTTAATACTATAAAGATAAATTTAATTTAACTCTAGCTGACTACTCATAAATTCATTACTCCTTATAAACATACACCCAGTCTGGATTATCAGGAAATACTTAAAATATTTTACCGTTGAATAATTTATGTAATATTAGTCACTTGTTTAAAAACTATCTAATTACGAGATAAGAGTAGATGAAGGGAAAAGGAATAATTACAAATGAAGCAGATTCTTGATGTATCCAGAAATGCATTATCATATATCACAAAACCATATCTCGATATCAAGGACTAATTAATGATTAATATACTTACAGAGAACTCAACTCCTGAGCCCTGTTATGAAAGTATTTGCAAATTGCAACAGCATCAAGTTTCACTTTATCTTTTAAATCCATATTTCTAAATGAATGTTCAGCAACTCTTTCTAAAGCATCTTCTGGCCAAGGCTATAAAAATATTATCATACAATTTGTTGTCACAACTTTAATTTAAGGTATATTTTATGAAGCTGTATTATAGTTTAGAATCGATTGCTTATTTCATAATAGAAAATAAAAATTGAAATGAATATGGATGAGGTAGGAGTTCATGTGAATTTATTTTTATCTTCTTTTTACGGAAAAAAGTTATAAAAATGTATGATTGAAATCATTTTTTACTTCCTTGTACGAAGTAAAAAGGAAGTATTGTAATCGCGAAAAGCTTCAGGCAACATATTTCAACGAAAATATCCACTTTGACCGCTTTCGAATGTAATTTAACGATGTTTTTGCGTGATATCTATACGTAAGGACAGAATAAAAGGCTCTTTTCCTCCAAAAAATCTAAAAAACTGCTTTAAAATGAATTCTGAAGAGAATTTTTCGTGGCGTCTGTACGAACGTATGTACGTACGTACGTATCTCGCATAACTCAAAAAAGAGTAGCCTCAGAACGTTGAAATTTTGTATATAAGAGTACTATAACATGTAGATGTGCACCTCGTATTTTGGTTTCAATCGGCCGCGCCAAACGTATATAAATATATTTATAAATATATCCACTCTGTTACCCGACTCAGTGATCTCAGTTTCTTTACTCTTATATGTTTGTAAATTATGCATTTTTTGCTTTACAAATGATAGAATTATGTTGTTTTTATCTTCCGGTTAAAGTTTTAATGCCTTTCGTAATTCTGGAAGCAATATTTGTACAATTATCAACAATTTAAAAGCTGTTTAAGTGCGGTTAAGTTTTAAATAACATGGCGGACATATTTGTTTACATTTGAAACAGCAGAATTGTAGGTTTGTTGCCAATCTAGAGAGACTAAGCTTCGCAACACAAAAATAACGCCTTCATTTATTATTGCGAATTAAATCATGCTTCATCCTTTCTGGAATTTTTTCGAGGAAATAAGTATTTAAGATTTACTTCGTAATTTTTAATACAGATATTTTGAGTTTTTATGTATTTTTGCCTTGTCGCGAAGTGAAAACTGAATTAATTGAATGAGAAATACTCAATCGTCTGTGAAAAACTGTTTCTTTTTCGTTTTGTTCGCTTAATTTCTTTTATACATCGTTCTAGCTTTGTTATAGTATTTGAATAGAACATGTGGCAACGATTAGATAATTCTTTAAATGATATAAATTTTGTACATTCTGAGTTACAATATAAACGAAATATAATAGTGTTAAGTAAACCTAGCGCCAGAGTGTCGCTATGGTAAACAAAGTGAATTTTAAAGAATGCATTTATTCTATTGTGGTTTATGCGCTGTCGGCGAAGTAGGTTTAATTAAATCTAATAAGTTAAATGAAATGCAAGAAAAAATGCGTATAATTTAATATTCCGTACAAGGAAGTCATGTGGTGTACACATCAGATTTTTTTCTTTATGGTTTTTAGTGAGTTTCAACTGTAATATGTTGCAGCTAAAGACTTTGAAACAACGATACTTTAAAGCTGTCTTGATACTCAGTAGTACATTAGATTCAACATGTTTCTGACATTTATGATAGCTTTTATGTTACGGTCGATTTTGCAATGACATTTATTTTACAGTTCATTCCATTTTAACACTTCTTGTAAAATTCAAGACATTGTAATGTTAGACGAACTTCGTATTTTAGTGAAATAGGTTGAGTAAAAATTTCGCAGTAATATCATAACTGTTTCGAACATGTGCACTATCTCTTAAATATGAATTTTAATTTTAAATATTCTTTTACTTTATAGGCTTGTTTGTGAGAGAGAATTGGTGCTTTTCAGTGATCAACTCGAATCACGCGCTTACGTGTAAGATTTTGTTACTCTGATATCAAAGAATATTATCGGAGAGCGGTTATACTCTACGAAAGCCACTGATAATGATTTACAAGTAAATGCCTCGGTTTTATATGTGAGACAAATGATTCCTGTATTATATGTGATTTTAAATCATAATAATATGCAATTTGTGCTTTTTGGTAGCGTTGTAGTTGCCTGCCTGCCATATTTTGCAGTATAACTATGACATTTTCGTTATTTATTACGGTCACAATAATATCTAAATAAGTAATTTTTCTTTATATTTCCTACCGTTCTTACTTGAGTTTTTTATAGCATTTTATGACCTCTAGTAAGCTGTTTGGTCCTCTTCTCCTTTTTATTTAAACAAGCCAGATTACTTTCAATGAGACATTTACTTTGATACTAAAATGACTCAAAGGATGCTGTATCCAAAGGAATTCAAAACTCATGGGATAAACTTTAAGGGGTGTTAGAGCACACTATTAGGACTTTTGTTTTTGTAATGTATGAATGGAATTAATGCGTTAAGGCAAATACCCGAGAAAAAATTATGCAAAGAAACATAAATTTTTCACGTTCAGTATTGTTGACAATGTTTGTTTATAGCAATGTTTACAATAATTACTCATAACTGCGTTCATCAATGTAATACATGCTGAGCAGCGTTAACAATGATAGCTTACAGTTTCGAAGATATCAGGTATTTCTGCAAGGTAAGCAATGTACATATTGTTACGAAATGTGCAGGTGCGGTGAGATAGCTTCCCCGCAAAGCAGTTTTAGGGTTGCCATAAAACGGCAAAGGAGGGCAAGGTTGCCACATTTGGCGAAAATTCCCCCATTTGGCGACATTTGGTGAAAAAATTGGCGCTATACCATGGACGGTTGGAGAACCTTCTGGAACGAATTCTTACCGGTTTAGCCCAGAATGTTCCCGAACACAAGCCGAAAACTATATAAACCCTGCTGGTCCGCAGTCAGTTAGTGTGCGTCTGTCATCGAGTGAGTGTGCCTCGTCTAGCGAGTCAATCCCTGCGGAGACGATCGCGTTGACAGCCGGCCAGCGAGTGCCGAGTGGGTCGTCGAGTGCACCGAAAGGGTCTCGTAGAGTATGGCAGCTAGTGCATCGTCGAAAGAGCGTGTTGAGATCCGGCAACGACTGAACTGAGAGTCAGGAGCTGTGCTCTGTGTGTTGTCGAGTGCATCGCGAGTTGTAGCGTCGAGAGTATGTGGAGTTCCGAGAACGACCAAGCAGAGTCGGGAAAAGTCCACAAAGCAGAGTCGGGAGCTGTACTCCAGAAAGCAGAGTCGGGTGCTTTGCATAAGCTGTCTCCACCGTTATTGCCTGACAGTGTGAAGGCTGTGTCGCTGATTGTCCAGCGTGTTTATAGTAGATCTTCGACGACTGTAAAAAGTGACTTTGGAGCTGTCCTGATTAATATTGGCCAAATAAATTTTGTGTTTCGATACTTCATCAAGTGTCGTCGTTATTCACTCCAAATCTACAAACCCCGTACGAACGTGAAGGAAGAAAATAACGCAACAACTGGTGTCAGAAGAATAAAAAGAAAAACGCAACAATATTTTTGTCGGCAACAGTTACAAGCTAATCACTCCATTACCGTTGCTAAGTATGAATTATCACTGTTGGATGACGCAATTTCGTAAACATTGCTTAAAGAAGCACTTGTGAACTATGCTGTAATGTTTACTTTCATGTTCTTATTTCTTGTATTTGTCCGCACTACTTCCGCCCATACATTCGGATACAAAAGTTTTATTTTAGTGAACTCTGATAACCATTAAAATTTCTTCCATGCGTTCTGAATCGCTCTGTATTGATCAAACCTAAAGCTGCGATGGCACAGTCTTTCTCTCAGTCTCACTGTCTCCACAGTAAGCGGTTAGTCCGCTGATGAAAGCTAATTCTTCCCATATCCGCACTGTCTTCTAGCACAAGTATCTTTCTGTAAAGAGGCAAAACTTTGTATGTGAACTCGATCTGTGCGATAATCAGCAAATGCTACTTATGAAATAAGACTATTTTGTACAAAAGTAATTAATAAGTTAGTGAGTAGACGTTTTAGGACGTGAAATTTCTTGTTGCTTAGCTTAACCACATTTCACTGGTGATATAACACTGATGATCTGTACTTTTCACTGCTGATTCGAAATTCTGTAAAACTGTCATAGAACTTGAAGTTAATTCATTGGATAATGAAGTGAAGAATATACTTGATTTTCAACAAGAGAAACTAAAATAAAACTATCTTCTTCAATTTAAAGAACAAAAAGCATGAGAAAAAGAGAAAGATGACGATTGCGAACAAAAAAAGAGTATGTGACGACTAAGAAGTTAACTGTAAAACATTTGAGTTAGTTTTCTTTCTTAATAATCATATTGAAGAAATTTGTTTGTTTGTTGCTGAAATTTGTTTAGGCTAATCTTGAGCCGGAAAAAAATAAATAAATAAAATAAAAATGCGCCGAAACAAATCGGTTGTCATCTGTGAGAGGTTCTATAAAAAGATGAGAATGCCGAGCACTATTTAAACATTTTTATTTAATTTTAGAATAAAAGTGTAGCTCAATTAAATGTTTAAGCATTAAATAAATGTTTAATACGATTTAGAGTAGCAAGCATTAATTTCTAGATTAATTAATTAATTCAAGCGAGATTTTCCTGTACATGCATTACATCTTCCGAATAGTTATCTCAGAAAACAAAAACCGTAGCTAAAATCTAAGCAATTTTTCTCCACCACATCAGTTTTCTTCAGTTTGATCCTCCCATAACTTAGCAGCGCCTTTGGTACGTCTCGAAACATACGTGTGAAAGTCTCTTCCCATCATTATAATAATTTACACAGAGAAACAAACATTACAAGATCTCTAATGTACACCTGTAAAATTTTCTTATCATTATGATAATTAGCCTCTTTGAAAAATATGTAAAAAATACTAATATTTTTCATCATTAAGACTCTAAAGACAGAGAAACAAACATTACAACACATATGGAATTGCCTCTTTATTATTCTCTTCAGCATGACAATAGTCATAGGGAAATAAACATCACAAACCTTTCACAATAATTCTTAATTGTACAGCAAGAAGTGTTTTGTTAATATAATATCTTTCCCTCGAGTACCAAATATTTCGGTAGCTGATACCCTAAGTGCTTCAGAACCGACATCTGGATTTAATCAATTCCATTTCTTTGGTGAGGAGTAGAGAAAGTTACGTACCTTTGACAAAGCTTATACCTCATTACGATATCAACGTGCAGAAGAAATAAACTCCAAACTGCGCAAATCCATGATTACTAATCTCTATTCGAAATTTTTTTAAAAATAAGAACATCATCTTAGTTATGTTAAACAACTTTTAAAGCGATATTAAAAGGCTCAGCTCTGCCTAACAATCACGAAAAGAGAACGAGCATCTCTGTATAACTTCTACAGTTTAAAGCAGTAATCGGAAGACCTTTATCAACTCAAGGAACCTCTAAAGCCATACATTTATTCACACATGGATACACACATATGTATACATATATACAAAAACTACCATCTTCAGAAAATTAAATGTTATAAAAAGCATTGAAAATATATCAGTACTGCGCTCACTTTAACGTGGAAATTTAAAAGAAAATCATCATGTCATTGCAATTTTACTCATAGAAACAAATTTACTTTATTTATTATTTTAGATAAGACTAACAACAGTAATAAAAATTATAATTAATTAATTTGTACAGATGTAAGATCTGTCTCTGTTATTCCATATAAACTAAATTAGATCCTACGATGAACCTGGCGAATTCTCGCACAGGCGTGAATAAATTACCAGCACAGAAGAAGGGTAAAAGTAACCCTTTATTTAATTCAAATAATTAACAGAAAGGCACGATCTTCGTGCTTTACAAAAACACCGTCAACTAGCTCTGAAACTTAAACGTAGAATATAAATCAATTCAAAATCTAAAATAAAGTAGTGCTGGATTAGCGCGTTAAATTACGGTTGAATCAACAAAGACCTAACAGGCATGATGATAATTCGAAATGGCCAAGAGGCTTACTAGCGTAACAACAAAATCAACGAAACATGGGCTGGCTAGCGAAAACAAGCTCTGAATAAACTTAGAGATTCCCCGTTTAAATACTCACTTCACTGAACTTTAAATTTACATCCTTGCCAGAAAATGTGAGGGGAAATCGAGAAGTTTAGTAAAGATGTCAAACTTAAAATAAATTTATTATGCAAAATAAGGAAAACCCTACACAGAACCTAACTATTTTAAATGGTAATCTTTGGATCAGTGTAGATAGTCAGGGCTTTCTTTGTCTTCCAGCGAAATAACAAAGGACACAACACAAAGTTAAAATAACACTTAAATATATTAGAGTATTGAATTCACAAGAGAAAATTTACTTATGAGTTTTGGCTGAGACACTCGACTCACGCTAGCAAACATGGCTAACAAGAGATGTAAAACCTTGTAGATCAATAATAAGCTCCATACTAGCTTGGAGTTTAGGGTGAATTATGCAAGTTAATATGTAACGCTCAAAAACAGGCACACCTGTTTTATTTTCGTATACGATAATGTGGAGATTATACCGTTTTGTTCAAGTATTCACCATCGCAAGCTCAAGTATCCCTCGAATGGTAGTTTTTTAGTAAATGTTCTAATAAAAATAAGATGATAGCTATAACGTGCGCAGATCTGACCTGATTCTTGTACATGAAGATATTCCTGTTTTCAGCATATTACTGGGAAATGCTAACATTAAGCTTTCGTAACCAATGTTAATCCCCTCCTTTATATCCATTGTCAGTAAAAATCTAAAGAAACTCAGATTTATTCATAAAGTCTTCTTGCTGTTGATTTTGATGCAGCAAGTTTATCCTGGAGAACACGCTAAGAGTATCAGGAGAATAAATAATTATCAGTTAGGTTACAGACCTTCAATAATCTCTTTCAGTTTCTGTACAAAGTGCAAAAGACAGGTCAAATGTTCATCTATGCCCAAGCTTTTGAGACTGATCATCTTTGTTTATTACAACTGTTGCTCCAGTCAAGATTGGTGTTAGAATTACAGTAGCGTCTTCATCAGAAATGTTTTCCATAGTAATTTAAGTGTGTGCTACACAAAGTTTACTAAATAAGTGCTCAAGACCACATGTGACAAATGCTTCAGACCTATAATACTGTCTACAGAAATACTTTTTCAGTGAGTGAATTAGCACTGTAAGATAAAAAATGTTGCCATTAATATTACTTATATGTACATGAAATTTTTATTTTTAGATCTTACTTGAAACCAATCAATGGTACAGCAATTGATAAGAGAGGGAAACTGGCGTAATCTTGAACGGAAAGCATTACCAATAGGACTCATGGCTATAATAATGTGCATATTTTGACTTGATCTTTTAACAAAATATGAAAACAAAGCTAATGGTGATAGATCAGCATCTTCTTCTTTTTCGGCTAAAGCGCGCACAGCCTAAAATATAAAAAAATGACAAGAAATTACATTGGTTTCAATAAAAAAAATAGAATTAAAAATATCAAAAAGAATGAAATTTTGAATTAATTGTTAAGAAAACAAATAATACAAAAGAAAACATACAATATCCGTTTTTTAATTTTGACATTTTCGAAGTTTAAAAAAATTTTTCTAACACCTCATACATACTCCATACATCATGAACAAATAATTTCAACACTTTGTATGATTTATATTAATTAGCCAATTATTATGGTTTGAACCTTGTTATAATTTCTTCTTTCTGTAGCTCTTACCAAAATGCAGTTTAGTTGTGTGAATATTTAAGTCGAGGATAAGAATATTTTAGTGTTAGATCTTTTGGCAGCCTCGCTTGCAGTTACATTCTATTACTCTGCCAAAGATTATTTTTTTGCTAGTCGACATTAAAAGCTTTCCGTTAAATATTTGAGCTTAAATAAACCATTTTGAGTAATACTTGACTACAATACTTGAATTTAACTTTCAACTTATGCTTTTATAAATACGGTGAATTTTTGTTAAGCACAAGTTGTGCGTGCCTTTTGTTAATTTTAAAACATTATGAAAAGATTATTTTAACCTTCGCAAGACTTTTTAGTATTAATTCAGACTAGAACGATAACTCGTCTAAAGGATATTTATTTAAACTTATACTCAATAGAAGCCTACAACTTAATTATTAAAATCCCATAACTCATATACAAAATGTTTAAAAATAATAATAAAATGCTGAAATAAAATATTTAAAAAAATGTTCTTATAAAGTAAATTCTACACACATATCTTTTCTGAATGAAATGTAAAATTTGTTAAACCGATATTTCTATATCATGCGAAATTTAAAATTGCAGTAACAAAATGTTATAATAAAAGAAGTTAATAACATGATTCACTTCAGTATCAGATTTAATAATTTCTCACTATTTCAAAATTCGCATCACCGCCGAAAGATAAAAGATAAAAAGCAAGTCTTAGTATGTCAAAATGTAACTGGAATTTTATATGAGCGTGTTAATAGGATTTTGATATATTTTATTGTATGCAGTTTTGCCCTAATAAAAGTGTAAGAGTGCATATCAGATTGTTGTGCTTTAAAGAATATTCACCACACATACCAAATTTTAAGATAGTACATCCAAATTGTTACTTTTTCTATAACAGTTCTCTACCTGTAAAACATTTTATGAGAAAAACTTATTCCATAGTTAGATATGTTAAAATATATATATATATACAAACCAAATCAAGTTTAAAATTAGAGAATCCTGAAACCTAATCTCCGTTTAGAAAACTACAAAAGCTGGGCGAATTTTTTCCTTCATCATATTCTAAGAAAGCACAAAAGCTATGATTAATATTCTGCAACTTACTTTTGATGATTAAAGAGAAAATTCATATGAAAGTAAAATTATTTTTATGGTACATAAATTAAATCCATAGTAAATAATTGAATCCAAAGCTGATACAGAAACAATAACTTAAAGGTAAATAAAAAAGGAAAAAATTATAACAAACCTCTATTTTTTCTTGCTTTTCGTCAACAGCAAAAAGATTTGGAACCTCTCCTGAATTCAGTAGGTTATCAATATCTTCTAAGAAGCATTCCTCTTTAATCTGAGTATCAGTTATAAGAAATACTGTCCCTTTACCATCAGCACCAGCTGATTTCATTACACGCTGAAATGAGAATGACAGTTAAAAAATATTACAAAATTGAAAATGTGGCTTCATTAAAAAAGCATAATAATTCACATTTTAAATACATAGTATTTAATAACATCATTTTAATGCATCCACAATGTTTCTATAAGTTTTATACAGCTTGAGTCATAACGATCTCCAAGGTTTTAATGCACTACACTGCAGTCGAAGGGGCTAGAGTATGCAGTTAACAATGATAGATAATTTTCAAAGACATTTTAATATACTTTAAAAATTTTTAAAGTGTTCTCCTTTTGCGAAAAAGAAAATACCATTTCTGTAATCCATAATAGCTCATTCTGTTCAAATATCTCTTAATTCACCTGAATAACAACGACGTAAAATCACTGTCTTAATTTCTTTAAATTTCTATGCAATTAGATAGGGCTACATCATATATTCAAAGGGCAGTTCCAATCCTCTTTCAGTGAAAAATTCTTATTAAATAAGCAGGTGGAGCAGGTGCTGCTGATCAACGCAATCCTGCCTCTCTACTTTGATTACGAGGCTTTACTCAAAAGACTAAATATTTTCACTTATGTTATCTGAAGATTTTATGAAACTTGTATATCTGATGTTGTAAGGAAAATTTTCCGCCAAAACATGTAGTTAGGAAAAATGAAAGCTAGGAAGCTAGGAAACATGAAAGCAGTACCTTTGTGAGGGTAGTAATCACCACATTAATCTATGATTTTCTGCCGACATTTAGGTATTTTTTCAAAGCTTTCGGCCCAGAAACTTGGTGGCCACGAATCCAAACACAGATCAACCTCATTCCAGACGTCCTGCACAGAACAGAAGATAGCACCAGCAAGATGTACCTGCAGGTGTGAGAAAATATAGAAGTCCGAAGGAGTGATGTCGGGGCTCTGTGGTGGGTGTGGCAAAAGATCCCATTCGAGTCCGTACAGGTCAAGCCAGTAAATGCAGACACATGTGGTCTGGCATTATGTTGATGGAACATTACATTTTTCCGCCAGAACTCAGTTCGACTTTTTTTTTTTTTTTTTTTTTTTTTTGTGTGTGTGTGTGTGTGTGTGTGTGTGATAGCAGTGTTAACACGGACTAGTATCTCGATGCACATATTACTTTCGAGAGATCTATCCTTTTCCCCTTTTCCAGATACTCTTTGTGATAATACCACGGCAGTCCCACCAGACATAAAACATGATCTTTTTGTTAGTCAAATTGCGTTTTGCGACGATGCCGACGGGATCACCGGGCGAAGACCATGTTATTGAAGTAAATCCACTTTTCATCACAAGTGACGATCCGGTCCACACTTTTGTCCTTTATCAACACACGTTGATATTCGAGCAGATTATTGCAGGCACGAAGACGTTTGTCCTTATCTGCCTGAGTCAGTTCGTGTGGCACCCAGTGACTGAATTCGTACATCCCGTTTATACGTAGCGAGACTAATGGACATTGAGGGACCTTTAACTGCCCTCGAAATCGATTGAGTGTTTCAATATACTTACGCTAAATACAAGGTTGCTTTTACGATTTTGATTAAGGGACATTGGTCAAATGTCTAACTCCTTAGCAAGTTCTCGAGTGGTTGCATACTGACCTACCACAAGTTCTCGCCGGCGGGCCTCATCAACATCAGTAGGCGGCCAGAGCGCTCTGCTTTCTTGAATCAGTAGGCCGGCCAAAGCGCTCTGTTGCTTGTTTTTGAACTTTCGTACCAAACTTTCACAGTGTCATGTGATACAGCATTAGTACCTGAAACTATACATATGATTTTACCTATGAATAATAATGTTATTGTCTTTATTTTTATCTTTTTCCCATGTATTATCATACATTATAACTGTTTGTATTCCCTCATAATGCACTATGATAATATCTACATTGAACGTATTTTGTGCTTTTCACTGTATAATAGTATATAATATCTTGTTGAGCGTATTAATGATACATTGTTTGCCAGTTGCTGTTAAACATCGGTATACCATATACTTACATATTTGGCTATACATTATACTGTTACTGTCTTCTTTTCATCAATTGCCCATGTAATATCATACATTTAATTCTCTGTGTAATAATAACACTGAATGTATTGGGGTCGCTAGAGATTTTCATTGTATAATATATCTAACCATTATTCATTGTTTTAAATATATCCATTGTATTTATACCAATATTGAATGCATTTTGTGTTTTTCACGGTATAATATATGTTCATAATATGTGGCATACTTAAGTCTATATTTTATCCTTTGCAAATGTATAGTAACACATTTAACTGTCTGCATCAATTTATTTGCCGCATAAGGATCACAGGTGTCATGACAATTTTAAATGTATATTTGTGTTACCAACACTGAATGTATTTTATATTTTCATTGTATAGTATTGTATAGTATCTACTGTATCGTATCGTACTGTGGTATTGTTTAGTATCTTATATCAGTTGGCTTTATACAGGTTAAATATGTTAATTTTTATTCATTATAATCGTTTAATTAGCTTTTGTATTGTAGTATTGTATTGTAGTATTGTATAGTATTGTATGGTATCTTATATTAGTTATCTTTTATGCAGGTAACTGCATCAATTTATTTGCTGCATTAGGATCACTGGTGTCATGACAATTTTAAATGTATTTTTGTGTGACCAACACTGAATGTATTTTGTATTTTCATTGTATAGTATTGTATAGCATCTACTGTATCGTATTGTATTGTGATATTGTATCTACTGTATCGTATTGTATTGTGGTATTGTATAGTATCTTATATCAGTTGACTTTTAGTGCAGGTTAAATATGTTAATTTTTTTTGTATTGTATTGTATTGTAATATTGTATAGTATTGTATGGTATCCTATATTCGTTAACTTTTATGCAGGCTAAATATGTTATTTTTATTCCTCATAATCGTATAATTAGCCTTATTGCATGTTTTTCCCACATACCACGTGATCAATTGTATTGTACCGCTATTGCATTCTGTTACTAAGTGTGGTACTAGTCCTGTACCATAATTGGTAGTAACCAATGTATCGACCTTTGTATATCTTAAACACAGTTGCATGCTAAATATTTTTGTATAATATATTCCTTTTTCCTAACTATTGTTGTACTATAGGGATTGAATGCGTACCGAGATCAAATTATATGTACGCTACCTACTCTTCTGTATCACATCACTACCTGCGGTATTGTAACATGACTTTGTCATAGCGAATATCTAGTTTATTACACTGACTTTCAATATGTTGCTTTGTCAAATATATGTACTTGGCTATGCAATGTATCCCGATAGAGTTGTTAGTCTTTTGAATTAAGTCGAATTCTGAATGCTTTACGCATTTTCCATGTATCAGTACTTCCAGTCACACACTGATGGCTATTGTATTCTTTTATTTTTATTTCTCTTGGTATATCCTCTGTGTATTGCTGTAATCATTTACATTCATTATGTCACTATGTTCTCTGTTTTTATGTTATATTGTCATTAAGTCTAATTCTACTGTCTATATTTTACTCATTGTATATTATTAGGCTGCCAACATCAGACTGTACTTTAGCTTATGCATATTCTATATTTGTGTGTATTACACCTTTGTAAAATTTTTGCTTATTGTCAAAACTCGCCCTTGTTTGGCCCTGTATGCTTTTGTTATTTTATTTAATAAATGTGTTGGGACTGTCTTTCGTGGGCATTTGGTCTGCTGGACTGCCCCCGGGTTGAATTTGGCTCTGGGTTTGGGCGCCCGGTGCGTGGCGTCTTGTGATTCCTCTTTAGGCTCTAGATATAGGTTGCTATACCGATTAACATTTTGGTAAAGGGACAGTGCCCACGTCCTCCGTTGCTTATCGCTTATACATATGATTTGGTGGCATTCTGTTGCTGACATTTTGCAACAGAACTGGAAGTAAATGATGGTTCTAATCTGGCAGCAAAATAGTTCCATTTCAGACACCTTGTACTTAATGATAACGATATATTTTTTTACAAATCTTACAACACAGTGTTCTAAAGCAAGACTCTTTCTTGCTTTAGAACAAAATGCTTTCAAATGCCAAGAATAGTTTGACAAAATATGATTAACCACGCCAACGCGAATTGTTTGTGCAGGCGATATTTGCGGCAAACTTTCGTTAAAATCCGATAATTCATTACCATTGCTATCATGCAGGTAAGTGAGGTGGTAAAGTAACGTTGTAATAAAGAAAATATAAAGGCAAACCAGATTACAATAATAGGTACGCATTGTGTCTAGAGATAGCACTCTGGGAATTTGTATTTTTGAAAAATGTCTTTTCAGCTTTCTTCTTTCTGTTGCTGTTATTTTTTTAACTTTCTTCTTTCTAGTTATATTAACTATGTTACCCTAATCTTTTAAGTTTAGTAGTAAATTAAAGTCTTGAATATTAAATTCTGGCTTTATCTGACATTAAAGTTATGAAAATGCATTTTAATGTGGAAAAATTCTCTAACTAGTACTTACTTTGATATCTTCTCTCCATTCATTAAGGCCATAATTTTTTGTTATCTCTGGCTGAAATAACCAATGACCAGAAATGAAAGATGCTAATTTTGTAATAGACTGGCGTCCACTCCCTCCAACACCAACTAATAGGGCATTCCCACCAGGCATAGCAAAGACTCGGCAAAGGCGAGACAAGTGTTCCAAAACATACCTGAATACAAATTCAAATATATTATAAAAACTAATTAATACAATAAAGACAGAAAACACAAGGTGTCCCAGATTGTTTAACATATTTTCAAATATTAAATGCAAGGAAGTTGCTAAACACATGCACTTATTAAACGAAGATATGTGTAGATTAGATATGTAGAAAGAGAAATTAAGTTATTGAAGTTACTGTTTTCAAGAACGGCTTTTCCAACAAAAATGTTTTTAACCATTGTCATCTGCATGTAAGGTTCAGATGGAAGTCATGAAAAGATGTCTGACGTGAGTGTCTTCCATACAATGTCGCAAACTCAGATCTCTTAAAAATTTTACTTTGGCACTGTTAATGGGCTAAACTACCTGCAAACATCGATACTTTTAAGAAGATGGAGCTTTTCCTTATCTTAGAGCTCAAGATTTTCTGAGAGACAAGTTACTAAAAATGAAATTGAAGATGAGGAATTTAAGAGAAAGAGCTTACAAACTGACTGTCTCTTTCTTCAGACACTTATAGCTTATGGTTTACTTGTGGGGGCTACATGAAGGACAATAAGTTTGCTCCATTCAATCCTTTGAATGCTAATGAAGCCACAGATGATGATTGACCGGGATGATTGAACTTTAGTACATTATGTCATATAAAAACTGAAAATAAAAAAATACTTTGGAATGTAATCTGTAAATAAAGACACCTGAAAGGGAAAATATGAATTATAAGCAGAGAGAAATAATAAGTCAAACGAAATGTTTTCTTTACATATTGTCAATCTTCTATTTCGCTCGTTCGTGGTGTTCGTGGCTATGGTCAAAATTTTGTCATCGATATTTAAACTACTTCCAGATAAGTTATCAAGTTCAGACTTTGTACACATATTGTTTGGGGATCACAGTATAATATTGTTATGCAATGATTTCAAAATTCTATTTAGAAATTTTTTAATTCAACGTTTAAACGATTTTTCACACATATCTTCGTTTAATGAACAAACTAAAAACCTCAGAATTTTACCATTTGTACCATAGGATAGAGCGAAAAAATATTTTAAATGAAAGTTTTAACTCAATTTTTGAATTTTTACGATTTTTTTTAAATCGTTCGATTTTTTCGAGTATTTGAAGTATATGATTTCAAAATCGATCAACTGTTTTCGACTATCTTACGTTTATGTTTTTAAAATTTTATCTCTAAAAAGTATTGGTTATAAAGTTCCAAATTTTTACCGATCTTAAAATTAAATCTTCGCCCTCTTTCAAAACAAAAATGATTGGACGATTTTCGAAATTATTAAAACAATATACTACGGTATGAAGTAAAACGGGAAGTAGTCGCTTCTTAATTTGCTATTCTTCGAAAATATACTTTCAAATTTATCATTATGTTCATCATTATATTATTATTGATATCATTACGTTACCACTTCTTAATAGAGTTCTAAGTCCCCTGCTGTAAAGAAACTAAACAGATTGAAATTCCTTCCTAAATCTCCTGCCCTTTTCTAAATGGTATTTCCGCTTTCTCTGTAGTGAGATTTTACATTTACAATTCATTTTATTTTATTAATCTCAAAAATGGCAGAACTGATTAATATATAATTTTCGGTATTTTTAGCTATCATAAATTGCAACCAAACTTAGATAGACTGACAGCGAATTGTAGCAGAGTCTTAAACAACCTTTTTACTAAATCAGAACTTGGAGCATAACTGCAAACCTCGTGCTTTTAATTCAGCCAACCACTTGTGGCAAGATAACGTAAAGTAACAGTAAGTTCAAATGTAAAATTTAAATTCAAATAAAATACTAGCCAAAGGCTACACAGATCAGTTAACGCGAAGCCGGGTCACAAAGCTAAGCAGCGTAGATATTCAAATATCGGCAATTGCAATGCAAAGCCGAATAATACAATCTTATCTGAGATAGCTAATCTAGTAACGTGGCATCAAGAGGCAGAACACACTCTGAGTTAAACTCCCGAGACCTAATACTGCATAACTCTTTCTCTCTCTGTTTTCATTCTGATAGAGAAGCAAAACCAGAAGTGACAGTAAAGGTCGCAAACATAAAATAATATTACGAGTGATATCCTACAAGTATTTAAAACTACTTGCAATGAAATCTACTGCGTTATTTTTATTTTTTCACATTTTCTCATCATTTCATTTTTAAAGTTGATTCCTTTAATTTTATTGTGAACATTAAAAACATCAAGGAACTTTAAAATTCTAACATTAAGAAATCTGTGTTATAAAGATTTCAAATTTTCAAAGTTTATAAAAAAAATTTTTCACCCTCTTTTAAAACAATAAGAACTAAACAAAAATTTGTTCAGGGGATTTTTCTAGAATTTTTTTTTTAAACCAGCGTTTTCATAAGCTTTTATTTAACTCTCATATAGTATTTGCCATTATGAGAAAAACTTTGGCATCTATTTTAAACTATTTTCTAATAAGCTATAGAGTTTCCGTTTCGCATACACATTCATTGTGGATGCCAATATAATGTGAAACGATTTTTTATAAAATTTTATTTAATTTTTTTAATTTAATGTAGAAATAAGTTTTTCCGTATATTTTATTTTAATAAATAAACTAAGAAATCAAACTCGAAATTTTATTTTTTGCACCATCGTATAGAGAGGGAAAAAGTTTTTAATAAAAGTTTATATGCGTTTTGAATGTCATTTCTGATTTTATGGCAAGATTACTGGATTTAATCAACTATTTGACATAACAGATTTGTTGGAAGTAAAATAATGATTATTCATTGTTAAAAATGATTGTTCAACTGAATAATTTGATACAGTCAGATGTTCTAAGAAAGAAAATGAGTGATTTGAGAAAAGTAATATTATTTTTACCTAAAGATTACCATATCCATTGGTGATTTACTATAGCTGTTGTATTCCATCAAGCATTTATCAGCAATAATTTTAAAGTCTTCAACATCTCTAACTTCATCATATAATCGATCAGCAGGTAATTCTTCATAATTCATGTAAGTTCCGAACATTAGTTTTCTCATATCTTCATCAGACACCTAAAATTAAATAAAAGTCTTAACTAGTAAACTGAAAACACATTTTCATAAAAAGAACACATAAAACATGGCAAATAATTAATATTGATAACTAATAACGTGGTAAGAAATAGAATGTGATAGAAATTTTAAATACTGAAAACTGTTTGAATTATATGATATAATTTTACTCACAAAATGTTTAAATTGTAAAGATATTTTTCTTTATAAATCATATTAGCAGAGAATAGTAATTCATGACTTTAATTGCAAAAGTCAAGTTCATTTTCTCCAAATGCATTTTGAAAATGGAAGAGGAATACATTAAATTTAAAGCAATAACAAAATTTATATCTTTTCAAAATGTTTATGAATGCAACAACTTGAAATTATCTATGTAGTTAAAAGAAATTTTAACACAGACTTAACAACAGGTAGATTAGTGGAAGTTATCCAAAGGGATGGTATTTTTTGATACTCTGTTTTAGAACAGGAAAACAGAACTATAATATCATGCAATTATTTGACATACATACTTCTTACCTTAAATATTTCCTTACAGTGTTCTTAAATAGATTTTATACAGCTTTGGTAACAATTTCCGTAATTTGAATATTGAAAAACTAAACACGAACGATCTTAAATGTGAGATCAAGTGGTCTTTAAGAAATAACCATATGGTAGAGCTCAGTTATAAGTTAGCTCAGCAAAATATGTTGAACTATACACATTCAGACTGCTTGCTCTTTTTCTTTTTTAGATCAAGAAAAATTAAGCTTGCTATCAATTTTAGCTTTTTTATTCATTTAAAGTATGCAGAAAAGATAATGTGATATAAAATATATTTTTTATGAAATCTATTAAATTTATTTACAAAAACATAACGGTATGTAAATAAGCTTTCCATGTTTAGGAAGGTTAATTGTTTATGGCAAATCACACATGAGCTATCTACTTTAGGAAAGATGATTTCGCAGAGAAATTATTAATAGAAAAGCAATAATACAGGATTATTCATAATTTCATAAACTATTAAAAAAATAATATCAAATAAACTACACAACTAATACCAAACTTTATTATGATAAAAGTGAAATAAATACCTCCTACGTTTTATAAATATTTCAAACGTGCTTAATGGGTCCACCTTTACTAACATGGTGGACGTTTATGTGATAAATCATTTCCCATAAGCATGCGTCATATGGATTCCATAAGCATGCCCCATATGGATCCCATAAGCATGCCAGAATATCATTAGAGATCAGAGGTAGCTGGAGGTACAGCTGGAGACATAACCGGCTGTCTCCTGGTGATAAGCAGTCCTGGAGAAGTCCTGGAGATAAGCAGAGTGAAGACATAATATCCTTGACAACTTGTCTAAGAAATGTTACATGAGATTAAATCTGATGACTGCCTCAACATATGGTGCCCAATGCGTTTATGAATCATCTTCTTCTGCTGTGTGCCTTGTTTACCTAGACGGCAAATTTTGACAAAGAATTTCTCACAAACAGTTTTCACTTACGCAGTAAATTTTAAGTGAGACACTCTTGAAAATAGCTTGATAATTGTCTTAGTGGTTAGTGATAAGATATCTGTCTTGTTGAAAGCTACCGATCATCCCTATTTTCTTCTTCACTGGTAACTATCATTGTTTTCCTACAGCATGAAGTGAGCTTTTCAAAATGTTCAAGCAAATAAATAAAACAAATAAATAAATTCTAAAAATAAAAAAAAACAAATAAATAAATTGACTTTTAGTTGCAGAATTATAAGCATTTAAGCCCAATGACGAAAACGTCAAAGTCCCATAGCAGCTTAAGCAAGTTGTATGAAGAAGGCGTACCTTTCCATCAGTAGGCGAATATAAATGAGCAAAGACAGAATCAAAATTTTCTTTAAACTGTAACTTTGTTGATTCTTTAACTTGCCTGTAATTTTAACAAAAAATTAATGTAAATATATAGTTGAAACTATTTATATTTTTTCCTATAAAAAGACATATCAACTGAAAATATAAAATACTGTTCAAACACTTTTTAAGCTTAAGTGTGATACACATGAATTACTTTTAATAAATAATATTCTTCTGGAAAAAGAAAAAAAGAAAAAACAAAGCACCATGAAGAAAGTGACTGTTTTTATTAAAATTAAATACCCGTAAATCTCCAACACAGGTAATGAAAGGATTAAAAATTTAAGGCTAAATCAGTGGCTAACAACAGCACATTGAATTTTGAATTGGTGAATCAATCCCTGGCGAAGAGACATGTATGTAAATGTGGAGCTAAGGAGTGATAAAGATTCTTCATATCAGCGATATCGAACTGGCCGACCGCGAGTCACATGCGGCCCAAGAAGCACGTTTATGCGGTCGGCGAACAAATTTCAATTATATATTTTTTTGAAATAGTGTGTTTGTTCCAAATATTTCAAGATTATAGTTATTTGAAGTCCGAGTTTACATCATTTTCATTTCCCTTAAATGAACTGGAATAACGCACTAGAAAATTTATAAATGAAGCTAATTAATTTAAAATGTTATGTAAATCTTATTCAAGTATTATATAAGATTTGAAATCTTATTAAATATTCTTAATCAAGATTTCTATAACATTTGAAGATACAAATTTCATTATCTTCTATTCGTATTTCTCAAAAAATAAATCAGTTATTAATCTCTGTCTTAAGAATAATCAGTTTGTTTGGGAATACATTTATATGTGAACACACGTTTTTTTCACAGTTGGAAAATTAATAAAAAAAGAACCCGATTTAGGTGAGTATCTACAATTCGTTGTGAAGATCGCTTCTAGTTATTTCTCTCCAAGACTACAAATTTTATGACAATCAAAACGACATTAAGTGTCAAGTTGTGGTAAGAAATAAAGAAGTTTATAATTATGTACAGACGAACATGTGTATTTTTATTTATGAATCTAAAAGAAATCATAAATAAGAGAAAGAGGTTAGATTGTCATTATTTATTCTGAAGTTTTGTCCTACTTGCTAAATTTTCTCTGAAAACTTAGAAAACTTTGTATTTTGTTTATTTTTAGTTTGAATGAAAGTAAGTTACTTAATGATTAAACAAACACGTAAGAATTATTTGAAAGAAATGTCAGTCTAAGTACTTAATATTTAGCTGTCAATATATTTGAAGTGCAAAGTTCAGCAAACAAAAATGTCTTGTAGGTACGAAATAGAAAATAAAAAAAATTTTATGCAATTTTATTAGTAATGTTTATGAATGGAAAATATTTAGTTTAATACACAGTTGAAATTTATTTCAAATATTTCTTATTTTAATAATAAAAATTTTCATTTTGTTAAAAAGATGTTTTGCCCGTCAGCTGTTTTCCGATCATGCATGCAGCCCGCGTGGAATTTGATCGTGAGACCACTGCTTTATCCTGCGATACATTAGGTAGGTAGGTATAGGTAACGGGGGGCACGGGCACTGTCCCTTTACCATAATGGTTAATCGGTATTGCACCGTGCCCACCACTGTCTAGAGCCAATGTGTAGGAGCCACATTTGCGCCCAGCACCAAAAGCCGAGGCCCAACGCTCGGACCATCCGAGGGCAGTCAAACTGACCAAAAGCCCTTCACACAACGCTCACCCAACCGTCCAGGCATTAGACATATGATAGCAAATACTGAGATTTCTCTGACGATTATAATACAATGTGCAATTGGGTACATAATGAAATTGCAATTATAAATATACTGCATAATACAAGTCCAATAGTACAATATCAATGTAAAAAGTAAGATATAATTACAAATGCAAATATTTCGTGAACCATAAGTGCAAAATAATAGTAAGTTAAAGGACTACTGCTTCAATATTAGTACATATGATAACAATACTGAATTCTCTGACAATTATAATACAATGATCAATTGGTACATAATGAGATTGTAATATAAATAGACTGTATAATACAATACAAGTCCAACAGTACAATATAATGCAAACACGAGTATGTAATTACAAATGTTAATATTTCATGAACCATCAGTGCAAAACAATACTAAGTTAAAGGACTATGCATATCAATGCAAAACATAAAGTGTTAACATTCTCAGTTGTTGCTCTAGATCTTCCAACATTTTGAGATCCTTGAATCTAGCGGCCTACCAGATCCTACACATGTTCGACAGGCGAAAGGCCTGGTGACCTTGCTGGCTAAGGAAGAGTAGCAACAGCTAGGAGATAATCCGGAGATATGCGAGCTATATGGGGGGTCTAACATTCTTGTTGGAAAATTACTCCAGGATACGTGGCATGAAGAGTAACACAAACGGCCGATATCTTCAACATACCGTTGAACTGTTAAAATTGTATGCAGGATGATTGACGTCAATCTGCTATCGTAAGAGATAGCCCCCATACATGATACAGGAGTAAATGTTGTGTGTCTTTGTAGGATCGCTGACCTTAGCTTTTTCACAACCGATAATCATCTGCTCCAAGACTGAAGCGGGTTACATCGTTGAATATTATTCGATATCACTCGGCTGGCAGCCATGTTGCTCCATTACGACGCTCCTGACAACTTTGCTGATGTTGCGGGGTTAAAAGCGATGTCTTAATGGCCGCTGTGAGCACAATCCCGCCTCAGCTAAGCTCCGTGAGATGCTGGAAGGTGTCACGAGTGCTATGAAAGAGGTTGTACCACGTTGGATAAAGAACAATCATGCCGTTGAAGCAGTTCAGACCTGTTGCATAATCATCCGATCTCACATTTGTCCATCTTCGCTTTCCAGAGCCTTTATTCCGCCGGTAAGTACCTTGCAGCAATACTAGCATTTTTACACAACCGTGGGCGTAGGACGTAGGTGGTGGTCTATTGCTTGGTATGAACAACCCGCTTCACGCATTGCTACTATGCCTTTGCGCTCGAAATCGTTCAGTTGTCTATAAAGTTTTCGACAACGTCGCAAAGGCGTTCATCTTGTGTGTCTAGGGAACTGCAGCGCTGACAACGAGAAACGATAAACAATTCGCAAATGTTACCTGTTTTATAGAATGTTACTTGTGCGGCAGAAACACGCGCTATGACCGAAGTTACATTCATTGACCTTCAAATTTAATTATTTGCATACTTGATATGAAAGAATTTTTATTCAAAATTTCGAGATGATTGGATTATCTTTTAAAATTGCTTTTTTTCTGCAAAAGAGGGTACTTAAAAAATTTATTCAGCTTAATTCTTTTAAAATAAATGTTAATATTTCTTAAAATTTCTAATGGCAGGTTACAAAGACAACTATAGAAAGAACAAGCAAATATGAAAGAAAGCAGCAAAATTAAAAAAAAAGAGTCCACAGTATATAAATCTATTTTGTGTCTCGCCACCCTATATCTCTACCAAAGTGATCAAGCATTAAGTGCAGGCCAACGACTCAGCTGTGAGGCATCCATTTCCTCATGAAGATTGCACAATTTATAAATCGGGGTTGGGATAATGTTCATTCGATGCAGATGTTTGAAAAGGTAATCATGGCCAAAACAAGAAAAAAGATAGCAACAGATTTCTTTCTGGGCCATAAAGGAGTGTCAAAAATTCACTAAATCCGTACTTTTCGACTGTTCCTTTCGATTAAGTCTTTTCAAAAAGCTTCTCTGAAGTAATTCTTTATTATTCTTTTAGCAGTATAAAAAAGGATGCTGTCAGTTATTGGCAGAATACTGGCCCCTTTCTTTGCCAAAACAAATCTGCCTTATCATTTGCATGAAGGCCACAGTGTGATGGTATTCATTACATGGCAACATCTTTGCCCTCCTGAGCTAAGTTATTTAGAAACTGCTGACATTTTAAAACATCAAAAAACACTGGTGATTCAGAAGAAGAACTAGCTAGAAGAGGAGCTTTAGAATCAGAGAGAATGACAAACTTTGAAAAATGTTCAAGTTAACATTGGAGTTTAGACAAGGCAATGCGTATGGTAGTGATGTCAGCATCAAAAGCAGTCCTATTCCGTTCAAGAGGATTATAAAATGAAAAAAAGCTTGCAAAAGACGCCAGTGCCTGCATTCATACTGTCAGTCAACACAGAGCTATCCGTAAATATATGTAATCATTCATTTTTAGAATATAAATCATTCATGATTTTCAAAGGCACAGATTTTAAAATTGTAAAAAATGTTAATATGAAACATTAATAAAAGTAATTCATGTGAGTTTGCAAATAATATGCAAGAGGTTTGCATTTTTGCATGAAATAAAAGATGATTTAAAATATTAACATTCAATAAATTAAATAAACTTGAATGTTAAATAAAAGCAAACTTAAACACATAAAATAAAATCAATTAATGCTCTAAAATGTGTATATGTAACATGCTAGTAACAGGCAATTTAATATAATTATTTTACACGCATTAAAAATGCACATATTATTTTATTATTTCAAGGTAGAAAGTATATATTTTTAACTGCTAAACAATTTAAGTCATTTAACATATCTAAATGAAAAAATTACGTATAAGACAGAAACTTAATTATGCTGTTATGTAGTAAATTGAATATTGTAAGAAAACATGTCACATATTAGTAATATAAAATTTACTATACATATTTTGCATTATTCTAATAATAAAATAACTGGCAAAAATTTTAGAAGAATACTCAGGGAATTCAAAGTTCATTGCACTTAGTAGTAGACTAGAGTTTCTTGAAAAAGAGAAAATTACTAACGCTTTGATCTAGGACTGGCCTCTAGGTTTATCAGATCTTTGATCATCTCTAAAAATGCAGCTAGCTCTTAAAATTAAAATTTATTTGATTCTAATATAGCACTTAATGTTAAGTTGAAACTAGGCAGAAATTAAATGGAAATTTGTTTAAATTATGAAAAATAGACAGAATTCATCTCACAATTTAGGCTTATATTCACATTCATATTTGCTATTTTATTAAATAATAATAAAGAACTTACTCAAAGAGCCATTTACAATCTATGTCATCAATTAATCTGTCATAAAATACACGGTAAATTTCATGAACCCATAATCTGTGAGGAATAAAAGGTAAGAATGTAAAAAACAAAAATGAAGACAAATTTTTAAAAGCTATTAAAAAACAGTATACAACCAAAGTAAAATGGAACACTTAAAAAAAGAACTTTTTCTGTTTAATATGAATTTAAAAATATAGTTATCAGAAAAATCGGAGAAAAATGTTATTGTTGTTTATTCTTCTGGTCCAAATCAAATCAGACAAATATTCTGTAGAATTATTCGGTTATTTGGAAGCAAGAGTCATGAAAAATGAGCAACGCCTTCGCCGGGAATCGAACCGCGTATCTCTGGAATACGCGGTTCGATTCCACGAAAAAGCTCACGAAATTTATCATTGCTAAGACAGAGAAGTTAATGCCTGTCATTCTCTCTTAAGTTGTGCGCCTTATCACACGAAATTTTCCTGAGCTTAATTCCAATTTTAATCAAGAATACTGAGGCAAGGAATCCCACTCTCATCCTCTTTCTCCTGCGAATAACCTCACAAAGAGAGTTTCAACTCAATGGATTTAAGTGCCCTCTATCACAAACATTTACATACACCCAATCCTTCTTCAAGGCTTGAAAACTCAAGATCTATAACTATAATATGATAACAGGCTTAATAATATAAATTGTTAGTGGAAAGCTCTGAAAAAATAGAAAGCTTTTTTTTGGGGTGGTCCCCACAGAGTAGCAATCATAAATTGCGGTTGAAACTATAAAACATTCATTATACTTCAATTAAATCGAAGGAAGAAGTTCCACATCTTTACATGCAAAATATATGCATGATCAATGCTTTCATGAAACCAGTTAAAAATTTAATAACGAATGTTTTTTGTACATTAAAATATTAATTACAACTATCTTCGGTTTATCAAAAGAAAGTGTAAATTTCATTATTTTGAAGTATTTAAAAACGTTTTGAGGAAATAAAATAATACTTTGCATAGTCATTAGGGTTTTGAGGCTGAAGAAGTGAAAAATGAGCATTGCTCTCGCCGAGATTCGAACTTACGAATACGCTTGGAGTGGCTTGCAGTTACACCACGAAGGCATGTGGAAAGGACTACGAAAATTCCCTATATAATCCCCCATTTAAAGGGCGACAGGGGATAAAAGGACCCAATCGCCAAATTCTGGTGGGGAAGAATTATTGTCCACCACCTTTAGGTCAGGCGTCACTGTAGGGTCATTAGGATTCTGTGAAAAATAAGCAATGCCCTCTCCGGGTTTCGAATTCCGGGCATCCAGAATACGTGTCGAGTGTGCTTCCAGTTACATTACGAAGGCATGCGGAAGGAAGGGAGAAAATGCCTTATGATTTGTATTATACATTGGGTTATTATTGGGTATTTTCTCCCTCTTTTCCGCATGCCTTCGTGGTGTAATTCGCAGAAACATACTCGGCGCGTATTCGAGAGGTCCAAGATTTGAAGCTCTGCGAGGGCACTGCACATTTTTCACGTCTCCAGCGTGAGAAACCTATTAATTCTATAAGGTATATAGGTATATTTCTGCACGTTACAAGTATATGCATAATATACAATAATGGATAATGTTAAAATATATTATACATGAAAATTCTCTACACCATGTAAGAAAAATTTGGAAATGCAAAATGATTTCATAAAGCATTCTCACCGCAGAAGTATCTTTTTACTCTCCAAAGATTCCTTTTTTATTAAACAACATCCGTGAATAACCCTAGCGAAGTCTCTTAAATTGAATGTGTAATGTGATTTTGCTGGTGTTGGAAGCAGATATGTTATTGCTGCATTATAAATATCGGCAGTTGCAGCAACAATAGCTCCAGCATAAGGATGCGCCTCTAGTGGGAAAAGGTTGTTCTGAAAGACATTTGAAAAAATAAACGAATTAGTTTCATTTTATATCTCTGTGTATGCATACATAATGCAAAAAGTTGAAAACAAAAGATCAAATAGATATTTACAAATAATTGACGGTTGTATTTTTAACATAATACAAAATGCATAAAAAACTAAAACGCGATGGGGTCATGTTTTGTGATCGATTTGTTCCACAGAAACTTCATATAAAAATCGCATAAAAATACCTAATTTAAATTGAAAATTGGATTCACATTCTATAGTTTTCTAAAATCGCATGAAATTTTTAAAAAAATGAAAAATTAAAATGAACTGAAAAATTACATAAATAAGGTACCAGACAATTTTAAAATTTAGGAATAAAAGTATCGCTTAAAAATCTGACAGAAGTTGAAATTTAAAATAAATTCGTTTCAAATTTTCTTTATTTTATTTTATTGAAACAAACATTTTTTACATTACTGTCGGAATTACTATCGATATCTAATAATGGTTCACATTATTTGTAAATTGCTGCAAAATCACTTGGTGCTTTTAATTTATTTTAAAATTCCCATAATTAACATATAATTTTTAATATCTTTACATTTGAAGGGAGCCAGGAGCATGAAATATGGCTACCGGGCATTAGATAATACCCCGTTTTAAAAAAGCCTTTAATAATAACATATATATGCAAAATTTAATGTTTAAAAAGCAATAAAATGATGCTTAATTTAAGTTTACCTTAAAATGAATATTAAGGACAGATGAAAAAATTGAATTGAGTGTAGCAATACTGAAAGGATTTATGCCTATCACTCCAAAATGACGCAAAAGGCGAGGAGTAATGTTGTTTCGTGCTCCACCAGGAGGGCCCATAGCAGCGATAAACTGCGTATCAATTAGATGAAGTTCACTTTTTTCTTTCTTCTCATACCTATGTAATGTAAAACATAAAATATTAAAAAATCTTTTAAATTATTAAATCTTTATTGAAAGATAATAATGTAATAAAATAAAAGAAATTATAAATAGCAAATGCAACACCCATCTCTAATATCATATGCATGATACTGGTTTCAAAATTGTTTTTAGATATAAAAAATAATGATATTTCCCGACATAATCAATCAGCTTGATTTATTTTTAAGAGAATGATTAAAAGGCAAATAAATCATGAAAATATAATGATCCAATTCAATCTGATCAAAATGTTACAGAAACGCAAATGGCATATACTATCATTCAAAGGCAAGGTGCTTTACATAAAGTACGTTTCTATGCAAAATTCTGTAGCTCCATATTGGATTTTAGTGTTTCTTCAGATAAACTATTTTTGGAGCCTAGAAGGAATTACTAGATAGATTTGAGGTACACAAATACCAGCCAAGGAAGGAAGGTAATATAATTGTGACAGTGCGAAATGACTGTTTATTTCGAGACAGTTTATGTTTTTTACTTTTGTTATGAAACAGAGAAAGATTACATAAGAAAACCAAATACTTTTTTTATCTGTGTTTCTCTTCCTAACTGCCCTTCAAAGAGGAATCTGTCTGCTAGGATCTGAACCACAGAAATCTTATAGCAGGTTTTGTATCCTAGTAAACTGTATCACTCAGAGGAAGTTTTGAGGTAGAGGGCTGTTGGCCATTAGAAGCAAGGAAGACAATACAAATGTGAAAATGGAAAAGAATGACTATTTCAAGACACTCTCTACCTTTTAACAATTGTTGATACGAAGCAAAAAAAAAAAAAAAAAAAAAAAAAGGCCACCGAAAGAAAATAAATACTTCTGAAGATAGATTTCTCTTCACTCTTCAAAAGGTTCTTCCCTCAAAAACAAGTAAATGACTGCTGAAGACCTGAACCACAAGAATGCTTACAGTAACTTTTGTATCATAGAAAACTGTAGCCAAATATCTGTATTTCACTGATCTCAGGACACAACAAAGTCTACTTGAATTGGTGCAGAGAGCACCAGAGCTGGAATTTACAATAACGGGTCTTATTCTTTCCATTGTTGAATGTATATGCAGTTCAATGTTTGATTTACACCCCTTTACGTATGTAGGAGGGCTAGAAATATGAAGTATGACCACCGACATAGTATACAATCATTTTGATAGTGAAGAGGTAATGGTATGGAGAAGCATAATGATCAATGAACATATTTTCCAGTACGTTGCAAGAAAGATATGTGTGTGCCCAGAGCTACTGAAATGAAGTCAAAAAGAACTAGGCATTTCAGAGTTGTATGAGAAATTTTATTTTTATAGATGACAGTCCACGTCGAACAATTATAATTGATGGGTTTCAAGAAACTAAAGATACTGAGAAAAACTGGTCAGCCAGTCTCCCTGATTTAATTCTATAGAAAACTTAGAGGACACTATTGGAAGAACTGTTACATTTTGAAATTTTCCTTCTAAAAGCTGAAGAAGAATGCCTCGAATATTAGGCAGAAAAATGAAACTCATCCTCTCCAATTCTAAAACATCTTATTAAATTTTATTTTCAATAGCTGTGATATATTTATGTGCTATGACGCTATGCATTACCCTAAATAAATTCATTCAGTTGTATCCAGTAATTTGGAGAAATTGGTGTTTTTTATGCATATAACGTTCTGAACGTGTTCTATACTTTGGAAAGAATTTTGCCAGCCACTTCCATTATTTTAGAAATTTAAAAAATAATCCAACCATTTCCACTAATTTAAAAATTTCAATTTAAGCTATTATTAATTTAAAAACTTAAATTATGAAAACAATACTACTTACAAAAAACAATTCAAAATTCTAAAGAAAGAATGTCAGATTACTCTTTCTAAAATCGCCATGCAAAAGACAAGGAACAGAAAACTTTTTTTACCAAAATCCATGATCAAAAAATTGCCTTAGAAGTTCAATTGGTGGCTGCGCTCCAAATATTTCGACAGCAGGCATGTTTAAGTCATCAATAAAAATGATGCATTGTTTCCCAAATGATGGTCCAAAAACACCTTTTCTTCTTTTCTCTAACTTGGACATAATAATATCCTATTAAATTTATAAATAAAAAAAATGCGATGAAATATTTTTCTTGCTAATTCTCAAGATACAAACGTTATATGCTTAATATGGGATGAAATTATAAATCAAATAATTCTGCATTAAAAGCACAGAGGTTGCTAATGAATATTAAAAAACATTTCACCTGAGCTTGCCCAGCTGATGTTTGAGTCGAGAAAGCTATAAATGATGGTATAAAAGTATCTTTGTCCAGTCCTTTCATCATTTTGTCTTGGATATAGACTGTTTTACCAGTTCCAGTAGGTCCAACAAATAGCAACGGTCTACGAATTTAAAAAAATATTTCCCCACAAAGTAATAATAAAACCAAGAATATACATTGTTTGAAACATACAACACAGTCTATAAAAATATCAAATTTATTATTTTATAGAAAAGTTAATTATCCCATTATATATCATTATAATATGCATTATTTTAATTTAGAAATAGTGCATTTAATTCTTCATTTTAATTTCGCTACGTTCCCTTCATGAATCTAAAAATTAATCTCCGTCATGCCATTACATAAGAGTAATGTTGCGGATATTTTTATCCAATCACAGTTCAAAATTTAAACAAAGGAAACAATTAATTGCACAGACCCTTTGTTCTAAAACGCTCGCTGCGGCTTATACTCTGCTATATATCGTCCATTGTTAGAAACGTAAGCTATATAAAACTTTGGGGTGCATAGCGCACCCATAATGATGACGTGTAAAGGAGAATACGTGTCCTAAGAATTTATTACAAAGAAATAAAATTATGTGTTGAATTTGCGGTCACGTCTGTCTTTAAATGTCATCTTTCTATCTACGCATAAAGCCTTTATAAGCTATTACAACACAAAGAACCATCGCCAATTTATTGCAACTATTCCAAATCATCCCATTTCAATGTTGTACAAAACTATGGCTTGAGAAATGCGACTGGCGAAACATTCAGCCAGTTCCTAGCTACAGCTGACTGTGATAAAAAAATTAATTTCAATATTAGGAGTATACCTAAGGTAGTATATTAGTAGTTTTGCAACAGGAAGGGGAAGAAACAAAATTAAAATGAGGAATTAAAAGAACTATTGCTAAATTAAAAGTTACCAGTTTTCTTTCATATTTTACATCTTACATTATCTATCTATCTATCTATATATATATATATATATATATATATACTCAGATAATCATTAAAATTGCTACAGTATAAAGCAAAGCAGTTACCAGAATTATAATATTTTTTTCTTAAAAATACATTATAATGTAAGGATAAACTGATTAAAACAGTAGGTGATTTTGAGGTACAGGATATTCAGAAATCAATTTCTGGAACCACAGCCGTGCCTAGATATAGCTTTCTCTGAAGCAAAGCGGTTAATGCGCACCCTGTACACAGCGAAAAGTGTCCAGCCACTGGGGGGGGGACAAAATGTATAAAGAAATATATTGTTGCGTTTTTCTTCTGACACCAGTTGTTACGTTATTTTCTCCCTTCACGTTCGTACGGGGTTCGTGAGGATTTGGAGTGAATAATGACAATACTACTTGATGAAGTATCGAAACACACTTTATTTACCAATATTAATAAGGATGACAGCCTGCAAAACACTTTTACATTCGTTGGAGATCTACTATAAACACGCTGACACAATCAGCGACACAGCTTTCAGGTTATCAAGTTATCACGGTGGAAACAGCTTCACTGTAAAGCACGAGAGTACAGCTCCCGACTTTGCTTGATCGTTCTCGGAACTCCATGTACTCTCGAGACTCTCCAGGCTACAACTCGCGATGCACTCGACGACGCTCAGAGCACAGCTCCCGACTCTTCGGTTCAGTCCTTCCCGGAGCTCAACACGCTCTCTCGACTATAAACTAACCGCGATATACTAAGAGGCTCCTTTGGTGCACTCGACGACCCACTCGGCACTCGCTGCCCGGCTGTCAACTCGATCGACTCCGAACGGACTGACTAACTATCTCGCACTCTCGATACTAACTATCTTGCACTTTAGACGAGGCACATTCACTCGCCCTCTGGACGAGGAATTCTCTCTATCAGCTCGCTAGGCAAAACACACTCTGTCTGCGGACCAGCAGGGTTTATATAGCTTTTGGCTTGTGTTCGAGAACATTCTGGGCTAAACCGGTAAGAATTCGTTCCAGAAGGTTCTCTATCCGTCCATTGCATATCGCCAATTTTGTCGCTAAATAGACGATTTCTCGCCAAATGTGGCAACCCTGCCTTCCTTTGCCATTTTATGGCAACCCTAAAACTGCTTTGCGGAGAAGCTATTTCAACGCGCCTGTACATTTCGTAACAATATATATATTGTATTATATGTAATTTAACAATATATATCTATACTTTTATATTTACCCTCTTATCCGGCTCAGGGCCTCTTTTTTATTCTTATATATTGGTAAATTATGCATGTTTTGCTTTAAAAAGGATTGTATTACGTTGCTTCTATGTTTCGGTTGAATCGGTATGCAATAGTTGTAGAATTATCAATAATTGAAAAGTTTAAGTGGCTCTGGACCTAACAAGCTGTCATTTGTTTACATTTGAAACTCATAGTAGAATAGTGAATTAAGTCAGTTGAGGCACAAACTTCAGTGGCGTTTTTTCAGTGTAACAAGTGGCATAGCTAGGGAGGGGCAAGGGGGAACATCTGCCCCAGGTGGATCCTCTAAAACACGCTAAATTTATGTTACTAAATTTTAGAATAGAATGTTTTCTATTCTTGACAAACAGGAGGGGGCGCAAAATTATCAACTCTTTCCGGGAGCTGAAAATCGTAGCTACGGCTCTGAGTGGGACCAGAAGTTAACTTTAAATCTTTGTATGCCGAAAACGTGGCTTTTCTGCCCGTTGTTCGAATTGCTTGTTTTTCCTCAGATACCATAATTTTTACTGTAAAAATTGATTTTTACGGTTTTAACCGTAATAAGTGTTTTAGGTTTTCCTGTATTTTACAATTTTTTAATGAAAATGTTTAGATTTTTTATGTGTTTTTGCCTTGCGGCAAATTGAGAGCCGAATTAATTGCATCAGAAATACATCTCTAATGAAATTCGAGGAAATAAGTAAATAAGTTTCAATGAAGTGCAGGAAAAACTGTGTATAATTTAACAGTTCGTACAAGGAAGTCATGTGGTGTTCATATATATATATATATATATATATATTATATATTCTTCTTCTTCTTAAGTAAAAGCGATTTTTGAAAAATCGACATTCCAACTTGTTTTTTGATGCTATTTTGAAGAATCATTTCCTTGCACATAAGGTGTGCATGATACAAAATGCTTGCATAGCCCAACAAGTTTTACTTTTCATGTAAATTTTAAGTTCGTTCAATGTTTCTTTTATGTAGAGAAATTTTAATGGCCAATAGTGCAGAAGTAATAATTTCTAACAATGGAATGCCCAAAACATTCCTTGTAAGAATAAAATATGGTCTTTGAAGAAGAGGGACCCATTTCAATAGCTAACAAGACGTAATGGTTTTGATGGGAAACAAATAACAGAGAATCTGGCCTAAATTTAAATTTCAAACTACTATGTTTTTCTTCCAATCACGTGTTACATTTAGAAAACACTATTTTTATGTGTGTACGAATCTGTTGTTGAAGAAATAGAAAAGCCAACTTGATTTTTTATGTACCTCGTACTGATAACAAAAGAACTACAAGATTTTAAAGTATATCTTGTGGCACTTGAAAGTGTAAATGCTTTACTATGAAGTAACACATAAAGCATACATGTTATCATCACCTGCATGCTTTACATTTCACATAATATCTTTAATAACTGACATCAGTCAAGAAATTTGAAAGTGAAACAATGGGCACTACAAACAATCCTTAATTAAAGTGGATTATCGTACATAAATCTATCTTTAACTCCTGATTGGTGATTTTAAATTCATCAAAGTTGTAATGCAGAACTTCAATGAGAAACTGGAATAAAGTGAAAGAAATAAGAAATTTTATACTATCCCCACCCTCCAATAAAAATTAAGGAAATCATTATATTTAAATTATTATTATTTTTTAAAAATATAATTGGGAAACACATAAAGACTTAAATTTTCAGTTAAAACTAATTATAATAATTATATAAGAACAAGAAATTTTCAACAACCTTTTGTGACGAATGTTTATATCCATCAAATAAGAATAACGTACAGTATCTACAGTAGGTACAATGATTTCTCTAATATTAATATTTGTTGAAGCTAATGGTATAATTGAATCCCTCCAAGAATACCACTGACCTTTGCCTCTAGTCTAGAAGGAAGAACGAAATACATGAGTCGATCACAATTTCCAGAATACAAAATATGCATAAAATACTTATATCTGCAGAATTAATTTTCCAATTTTCAGTTTAAAACATCTATGATAATTTATCTCCATAATACTATGAATAAATAAACATGTTTTTATTCTTTCTAGATATTTATAATTAAAGCATAAGTCAATTTATTTTAAAATCTATGTTAATGAAATACTGAAAATGAACAGCTAAAATGCTTAGAATTAGAAAAATATTCTGTGATATTAAATAAATTAGGAACACAACTTCTTAATAAATGCTTACGAATATAAGATATATTGATTAAACATATCTAAATGTCTAAAATATTATTAGCGAAAAGCTGAAATTTTCAGTACTTACAAGAAACTTATAATCATAAACTGATCCTTCTCGGGGAAAAGAACATTCTATTTTTAATCCTACTTGTGTAGGAATTGGATGCGATGCATTTTCTCCAAAAGTTAGCTCCTTTAAAAACTCACTAAACTTTTCTCTTCCCTGTTCATCACACGTTGCTCCAATAGACCAAATTGTAGAAAACATAAAAGCGCCTATAATCCAACATTTCATAGTTTTCTTATCCGCATGTGACATTGCCACTTCATCAGCACAAGCTTCGTTCATAATAATGGCCACCATTTTCAGCAGAGAATCAACCAAATGATTATCGCTTGTATTTATCAATTCCTGAGGAATAAATCATTTAAAAGTTTGAAATAAATAAAATACTGGAATTGATAATACAAAGATAGAATGCAAGATATATGCTTTAATTTATTATTCTGTTACTTCAAATTACAATATAACTGTTGTTAAGTTCTTTAAATGTTTGATTATATAATTGTTTTTTCATATCGTTGTAGCATTTTGTATCGTTTTTATTTACTTTTTGTTATATTTCAGGTAATATTGTAGGATTTATTTTCGTGTAATTAAATTTAAAGTCATTTATTTAATATATAAGTACTCATTTCTTGTAGATCTTGCTATTCTGAATCCAACAAAATTTAAATTGTAAAAGAAACTCACGTAGCATCTGAACTATTGCTAAGATGACGACATAGTTGGCACAGATACAGGCATTATGTAGACGAGATTTATTAATTACTTATAATTTGCGACTTTCTTAAAGTTTTAGGAAAACCGATTTTTGAAGTCCTAAGAGCAACGTTTTCCTAAGCTTCCAGAATTCTAAGCAACAGCATATAAATGCGGCTTTGACAGCCAGTTGTTATTCGACACTCAGTTCTGAGTGATTCTAGAGAGACTGGGTTAGGAAGAAGTTAGTTGAATTATGTTTTAGGTATTCTGGGATTGATATAGGTAATCTACAATATTTATCATATATTCAGAGAAATTTATCTAATCTCCGCGGCTTATTTACAATTGTTATTTTTGTTTTACACATATGTTAATAAATTTAAAATTTCAGTTCCTTCTCGCTAGTTTGGAGTAATTATTTGAAGTGATTTCTACAAACCTCTAGCTCACAAGAGTATTAAAATAAAAGTATATGTGCACTGATTGAAGTGTAGGGTTTAGATTTATTTTAACTAACATTTATTTTACGTTTAAACTATCTTTCCTGTCAAGCCTTATTTTCCCCTGGAATTGCCAATGCCAGAGTATGTAAATTTTAGTAGAACGCACAAAGTATTCAAAATAGTCAGCGGAAGTATTCTGAGTTAAATAGAAGGGAAACGAGTTCGAAAGTGTGCATTCTTGCTTCACGAGCGTGGAGGTGGCTAGTTAGAAATTGAAGAACCACGCGCTTCGGCCTGTGTGCTTGCCTCAGTAGATAGTTAAATCTTTCAACGTAATATTCAGAAGTTTGCTGAATTGTCAGCGGTATCTTAGAACGCGGTTAGGTTAGTTACGTTTAGAGAGCCTCGTAGTTAGTCACTTGTTATTTCTTTTTAGTTTCTTATTTTTATTTTACCGCCGGGTCGGCGTAGTTTGTGAGCGTCAAGAGCACGCATCTGTAATTTCTAAAGTTGAATAAAAAGGGATTTAAACACTTCTCAAGACTTTGTATACTTTCCAGTTCATAGCAGTCACCACTATTGTTGCGTGCAGGTTGGGAGCGCGCAACATTAGAGAAGCATAAAAAAATTTCAATGTTGTAAGAATAATCATATTAAATAAGGAAAAGGGGAATCTTTAGAATATTCTATATCTAAGCAATTAACCGCACAAATGAACTGAAAACATCCATATATAAAAAATTGCAAAATAAAGTGCAAAGAAGTTTCTAGAATATTAAGAGACAAAGTATGCCTTCATGAATTCATAAGCCTTTATAATAATAATAATATAATTATAATTATAATAATAGTACAAAAAGAATAAGTTTTTCAAATTAAGATTATCCAAGTCTTATTTTGAAATATTTACAGATATTTAATTTAAATACCAAACAAGATAAAAAAAATTGCAAAATACTGTTAGATTCGTAAAAAAATCAAGTTGCAACGTATGAATACCTTCATATTAAGAATGGCAGATAATTTCTCTAGGTTTGCTAATAATTCTTGTTAAAAATCATTAGTTTACTTAATTATCAATTATACTGTCAAGCAGCCATACACTGTCTTTCAAAATTTGCTGATAAAAAGGTCTAACAAAGTAGTGTAAAGCGCACGTCGAAGATATTTGGGAGATTATATATACAATATGTGAGGCAAAAAAGAATGGCAAAGACAAACAACTAATACGTTGGGACTAAAGAATATGGCCTACAATTTGACAATGGTAACCTATAAATTAGAAAACTTAAAAAAAAGTAAATTAACATTTAAAGTGAAAAATTGACAGCAAGTTGGAGAATTCATTCAAGAAAATCCGAGAAGAATTTAGCAAAGCTAAATCAGCTAATTAGAGAAGACAATCATCTGATTGTAATACGAGGGAACCAAAATATTCCCTCTGCTGTTTAGGCTGTTAAGGAATATTCTTTGATATCGCCAAGAGATGGCGTTAGGAGTCCATCTATTGGCTTACTTGACCTTTCCCCTTCTGAACACGTGACTTAAAAAAATATACTTCTTCTTGAAGGTAGAATTTCGATGCACTACGCAATAGAATTCGATTTAGATTTAAGCTGGAACTATTCAGTTCTTGCCTTTTGAGCATTAAATATTCGATTCAGGCATTTTAGCCTACATTGTATATATGTAAATATTAAGTTTAATTAAAATTTATGGAAAACCCTCCAGGCCATGCATCTCGTCCTTTGGATTATGAGTGATTCGACTTTGATCTAGAACTTTCGTTACATAATGGTGCATCGGCTCCAGAAAAGAATCTGATTAATTTGAAAATTTGTGTTTTTCGCCTTTTGGATTAGCTTTGTAAGCGAAGACTTCTCACGGTAAGTCTCCTTTGATAATTTATTAAAATGGAACAGAAGACACTAATTAAGAATCGAGCACATATACGTGCTTCTGTAACTCAAATTATTAAAAATGTAGATGAGTATTTAAAAGAAGAAAATCAAGAAGAGTTAGAAAATTGTTTGGAATTGTTAAATAGTAAAGAAACGGAACTACATGATTTAAATGAAAAAATACAAAATTTGATTGAAGATGAATCAAAATTAGATTCAGATATTAACACTTCTATGGAATATAACGATAAAATAATAATAGCGAAGTCTAAAATCAACCGTTATTTAAGGAAATACAATACTCAAAATATCAACACGAATTTAAATAATTCATCTACAGAAGTTGAAACCAAAAGACAGATTGAAGGCAATGTGAAATTGCCCAAACTGTTAATTCACAAATTTTCCGGAGATTATAACGATTGGATGAATTTTTGGAATTCATTCAAGGTCACTATTCATGACAATGTTACACTTTCGAAGACAGAAAAATTTAATTATTTGAGAACTTATTTATGTGGAAACGCAGCATCAGCCATAGAAGGTCTCTCAATCTCAGAGGCTAATTATGACTCTGCTATAGACATTCTTAAAAATAGATTCGGTCAAAGTGACCTTATTATCAATACACACATTTCTAATCTCTTAAATTTAAATCCCGTTCAAAGTTCAAGTGAAGTGGACAAAATTGCGAAAACTTTATGATACAATTAACGTTCAAGTCAGAAGCCTTTTAGCATTCGGTGTGAAACCAGAAACATATTCCAACATGTTTATTCCAATTTTGATGAAAATTGTCCCGAACGATATAACTTTAGAATTTCATCGTACAAATACTGAAAATCCTTCAACCTATGATTTAAACAAATTTCTAGACTTTCTCCGATTAGAAATAGAATCGCGAGAAAAAATTAATTCGTTTCCACGCAAGTCAAACCCGGAAATGAAAGGTATTAACAGATATCCACCGACGCCGAAACATAAACAAACTGTCACCACACATGAATTTATGGCAGCCGCGTCATCAAATCGAAACTGCATTTTTTGTTTTCAAAACCATGACTCAGAGTCCTGTTTATGCCTTACAGTTAATGAGAAGAGAGATATTTTAAAAAAACAAGCGCGTTGTCTTCTTTGCCTGGCCCCTAAACACAAAATCTCACAGTGCCGGCAACGCCAAACTAAAGTTTGTAAAATTTGCAAAGGTAAACATTCAGAAGCCATATGTTTTAAATCCAGTTCGATAGTTAAAAATACACCAAGTGATAAAAAGGATAGTATATCAATTTCGAAAAATGATACACAAACTAAGGAACAGAAAGAAGAAATTGTTTCGGCCGTTTCACATAATGCAAATAATACAATTCTTTTACAGACTTGCACGATAAAAGTTAAAACAGCTAAGGAAAAGGTGTTTGCCAGACTTCTCTTGGATAGTGGAAGTATGAAAAGTTTTTGTGCTCGCGAGTTAGCGGACAGATTAAACCTCGAAGTCATAAGAAAAGAAAAATTGACTGTCTACACTTTTGGGAATACTTCTCCCATCCAAAAAAATTATGACGTAGTTAAATTAACTTTAGAACATAGAAGTTCTCCCGATTCTAGAATAGAAGTTGAATTATTAGTAACTGATCATATATCAGGTACAGATATTCCACCTCCTAAATCAGAAGAAATTAAGCAAAACAGACAATTAAAAAATTTGCTGCTCGCAGATTTTCCCGATTGTAAAAAACCCATTGCCATTCTAATTGGTGCAGATTATTATTACAACATAGTAATGGGACACGTTAAATACTTAAGCAAAAATCTTGTTGCAGTGGAAACTATTTTCGGCTGGTGCCTACATGGACGAAAAGGTGATGATGATGTCTCTTTAGCTTTCAATGTAGTTGTAGGGGAAGATTTGATTTCCAAAAACAAATAAAAGGACAAAAATTTTCGGGAACTTCGGAAAATTCTCGCAAAGTTAGATTGCCTTGGAAACATGAAATCTAATAATAATGAAATAAAGAGCGAAGGAACTTTCAGTTAAAACAAAATATTATCGAACCAGTTTCAGAAATTTCAAATGAAGAGGATGTCGTGTTTTACTTGCCACATAGGGAAGTTATACGCGAGGATCGAGCTACAAGTAAATTACGTATTGTTTATGATGCATCATCGCATGCCCCAGGATCCATTTCTTTAAATGACTGTCTACATGTTGGGCCAAATTTATACCCTGAAATATTCGAAATATTGTTAAGATTTCGGTATAATCTAATAGCCTTCACCGCAGATATAAAACAAGCCTTTTTAC